CATCTTTCCCCGGACACACTGGACTGAACGCTTTGTGGACTTCGAGCGCTTGACATACCCATTGTGGCGGCTCCTCCTGAAAGGTCGAGACTGGCGGCTACCCTCTTCAATGAGCTGCAACTGCAACTCAGCACGATCGCGGGCTCGCTGGGCCTCATGAACCTGGGTCTGGAGAGTAGAGAGCTGGGAGCGGAGCAACTCAATGGTAAGGTTGGCGTCTCGAAGTTGCTGGGAAAGGGTGAACATCTGCGAGGCTTGGAAGGAACGCTGGGCACGTTCCTCATCACGAGCTTGTTGGACACTCGGATCAAAGGCATTGGCAAGCTTTCCGATGAGGTCGACGTTGTTTGACCGAGAGCGGCGCTGGACAGCGGGGTCAGGTCGGCGGATGATAGCATTCTGGATATCACGGTTGCCAGCGGATGCCGCCTTCCTCGATTTCTTCGGCGCCTCTGGGATGTCGTCGGCATCATCGTCGTCATCTTCAGATCCACCAGTCAACTGAGCAGCATCATCGAAGTCGGAGTCGTTGAGATCGCGGGTGGCAGCCCTCTCGTTGATATGCCCGTCAATCTTGTGTGCTCGTTTGACGTCCGGGGGACAATAGGCATCACCAGTGGGCTTCGTGGTCTTAACAAGCTAAGATGTGTTGTAAGTAACAATGTTTCTTACATATAACCAAAAACGGCTGACCTGTTTGAACTTGGTCTCCAGAGACTTTAATGTGCGTTCAGCAGCATCGTTACGACGAGCCCAGCGAGTGAAACCACGGTGGATGGACTGCCACCCGCGTTGGCCAAGAGGGAGCTCCTCCTCGACAAAGTCAAGGAGGGCATCAACCTCGTCTGCAGTGTAGTTGCCAGCACCCTTGGGACGGCCACGCTTGGCTACTACCTCAACTTCTTCATCATCCGAGGCATGCCTGCGCTTGCGAGCGGTGGCCTTCTCCTTTCCCTTATCGCGAGACTCGGTTAGTACAGCGCGCTGTTTGCCCTTGCCCTTCTGACGTGATCCAGCGACCTTCTTCGCAGCGGCATGGCCCCAGGACTTCACAATTGTGACCGGGTCAGAGAGGTCGTCGTCCGAGACCTCAGGAAGAGGTAAAAGCGCCGGATCGATCACTGCAGTAGAAGGGCCGGCTGTCGGGGCTCGAGTGGATGTAACAATCTAACACAGCATTAGGACAAAGGAGATATATGATCTAGGAGGCTACATACCACAAGAGCCTCAGAAAGCGGTTGGTTTGGACCATCCTCCATGTTATTATGGGGGCGAGTCTGACGAAAACAAGTCAGGACTGGTGTAGACAACAATAAGATATAACAAAACGTACCGGGGCAGTTTCGTTCTGGGACACAGCAGGAAATCCATGAGTTGCAGTAGGGACAGACTGAAAGAGAAGGAAAGAGGGATTGAGACATGTAGAGACACCATATAGGGTAGGGTACCTACCTGAGAAGTCACCATGGTTGGCGCGTATAACTGAACCCAATGACCAGAGACATCTTGGACATATGGCCGCCCAAACCTGTCATATCGGATGTTAGGGTTGCCAGGAACAGGGGTAAGTTGGTTGGGGTCCATAGCGGTTGATGAAGAGGTAGAACGAGCTGAGTTTTGGTGACACGAAGCCTGGGAGGTAGCAGCAACGACTCACCACTTTTATACCTATCTCTCCATGCATTTCAGCCATCTTCCGCTCCTCATTTCCCCTCCTAAGCCTTCGATAATTAATTTACTTAATGAGACCGCTAGCGAGCGCAATTAAGCCCCTGGCAATGCGGGCTGCAGCCAATAAAGGACCTAATTGCAGACCCTGCTCATGATTGGATGTGATTAGCATGGTACGAGGAAGTAGTAGCATGTAATGACTCACTCTCACACATGAAGGGGGCTTTGGCAAGCTCGATGGGCAACGATGGACGACAACGATGGACGATGACGAAGATTAAGATAAGAGCACGGCGTAAGCAAACAGGGAGTTGTTTGGTTGTGCATCACGGGACAAACAGTTTATTCGACCGAAAAAAGTCTATTCGAGGGGGTAGGACCCTCTGAATAGATTAAGGTTTATTGAGGGGCCCAACCAGGCACGACGGATAATCCGCGTTGACATGTTGGCAGCGGCATCGCGGCATCACCGCCAAGGAGCACGAATATAATCTATTGCGGCGAATAAATGCTTACGGACAGTCATCCATTGACCATTTTCCCTTTTGCTGTGTATCTGTGTCACCGTGTGTGCTCAAACAGAGTCTAAACGCGAAACTTGAACGTGTGTGGCTGTACGTGCTAGCAGTTGCCTCCGACCATCATGGAGTCTTGACCTCGTCTTGTGCCACGACTGGGATACATCGACCTTTCCTCTCCCATCCTTCACAGAGACGAATCTCACATTGCAGGCCAAATCTATGATGTTTGGAGACAATGTCTTTATCACAGGAGGAACCTTTAGTCAGCAAAATGGTCCTGGTAAGCTCAACATACGACCTTGAATGCTGTTCTGTTCTGACGATCAGCTACTCTATCGTAGCCCCGAACCTAGGGTTCAAAACCCTCCAGAAATTTGTCTGCGCCGCCGCCCTCCACGACTCCTCCGACCGATTCGATGCACCCAAATGTCACCCGCAGACGCGAGTTGCCGTCCTCAACAAGATCATGGACTGGGCGACAGGCAAAATCGACGAGACTGCATTCATCCTGTGGTTGTACGGCCCAGCAGGTGCAGGAAAGACCGCCATCTTGCAGACGATCGCGGAGATGTGCACGGAAGCTGGGTTCGTTCTGGCCAGTTTCTTCTTCTATCGCACCGATGCACGCAGGAACGACGGGAGCCATCTCGTTGCGACGTTGGCATATCAGATGGCGCTTGCAATGCCGCCGTTCCGCAAGCTCGTGAACGCGGCTGTCGAATACCATCCTTATATTTTTGAGTGCTCGATTGAGAAGCAGCTCATAGCCCTCATCGTTCACCCACTCCTGCAACTCGCCCAAACCAGTTTCTTCGCTGAGACAGCCGTTCCAGTTGTCACTGTCGTCGATGGACTTGACGAATGTCAGGACCACGTAATGCAGCGTCAAGTCATTGAAGCAATTCACGCCATCCGAACCAAGGCACCGCCTTTCCTCAAACTCTTAATCGCCAGTCGCGCAGAACCGCAAATAATGGCAACATTCAGCACCCTTGACCACCTTTCAATCTCAAAACACCTCGTACTCGACGACGAGTACAAACCTAACGAAGATATTCGCATATTCCTACGGGATCGATTCAAAAAGATCCGCACCACCCACCTCTTCAAGTCATTCATCCCAAAGGACTGGCCCGGCGACGACGTCCTGGACGTCCTCGTCAACAAATCATCCGGGCAATTCGTCTACGCCTCAGTCGTCATGCGTTTTCTTGACTCTCCCCGCCATCGGCCTACTGACCGACTGGAGATCGTCCGAGGTCTGCGACCGCCCGACCGTGAGCTCCCGTTTGCCGAGCTCGATGCGCTGTACCGGCACATATTCTCCACGGTTCAGAATCTTCCCATGGTACTGCGGATGTTCGGTGTACGGTACCTCGTCCCGGAGGTGTTTTCGAAGCGATTTTCGGTTTCGCTGCAGGGAACAAATGCTGAGTGCACAGTTTCTGATTTGGCACAGAGGACACTGTGCCTCAGCGATGGGGACCTCAATGTCCTGTGTGCTGATTTAACGCCTATAGTCTCTTGTAATTTTAGGGGAACCGTCAAAGACCTGCATGCTTCGTTAAACGACTTTCTACGCGACCCGACACGTTCCGGAGACTATGCCGTGAACTTTCCTCAGGCATATGCAGATATAGGCTCCTTTTTGTGCCGTTCGTGGGATATCCAGGGATTGTGGAACGAAGAGCTGCTTCTGTGTTGCAGAAACGCAGCTTTGACCGAGGACTTTGGGTTGGGATTGTTAACGGTAGGATGTCTGGACGGGGATGCAACAGGGTGGCGCCAATACTGCGATGGAGTTGCTGACACCAAGCTTCCAGCAGTATATGCTCTTCTCCAGATTCTTGCGACGAAGGTATGCGATCCACAGCACTGTTTTTTGCCGTGTCGTTGAATGCCACTTGTAGTCCTCCTCGGAATGGAATGAAATATATCAACATTTTCAAACGGCGTACGACAAATGGCTGGTCTCCAGGCTCGACAGAATTCTCCATCCCCTGACATGTCTCTTCGGTTTATCTCCTCCCAAAGGCGGGTTTGCGAGTCAGGATACTATAGACCGCCTTCTCTTGTCCTTACGCGACTCTCGAGCCCTCCGCTCCGATCGAAGTTTATTCAGCTGTGAACACCCTTTTATGTTCAACTACCTCTGTGGCTTTTTTCGAGATCCCAGCCGGTCTCGCCATCACTCCTTGACCGAAGAGACGTTCACAAAGGGTGCTCTCTATCTTCTGCGATTCCTAAAGCAACCAATTCAGCATTCCCAATTCCCTGTGCAGGAACTTTCTGAGTGGGCGAGGAAGTCCAAAAAAGCTGCGTGGATATCCCGTCGACTTCGCCAGCAGCGTTCTATGTCTGTCATTACCCGATCGACGTTTAGGAACACCGACCAGCACGCGACGTGTATAGGCGCAAAATGTAGTGAACGATGTCATATATGTTGCCATGATAGCTTCAGGTCCTATGGTCTTGCGCTGCGCCTTCTGCCACGAATGTTGAGCAAGGCTTCAAACTCGGAGAAAATTAGGGCTCGATCACGTTTCCATTCACAGCTCACTCGCACATCTCTTCTGCACGGACGACAGCTAGCTCGAGTACGTCGCGCTTTGGACGTCTATTCGAAACGGGTGACAGGAGCCAACGGGCCTGTAGACGCAAATGTGGCCTCGGAATCCATTCCATCTCCCACCGAAGTTACACCTTTGAAAGCTGACCATGAAATCTGGACCTCTCTTATATCTACCTCTTGGATTGCACGGACGTTGTTGATTCTCGTATCACTGTGCCTGACATATTTTATTCTTTTTTGAACAGCGAACCATTTTCATCAGTGCCTTTCAGAGGTTTCTCCTCACAAGGTTTGCCTCAAAAGCCAAGATGCACACACTCAACCCAATGCTCGGCTGCTAGTTTCTGCGCGTTGGAGTTTGATTGCATGCCGAGCCCAAGCGGTGCTGATCGCCTATTCGGGCATGTGCGCCGCGCCGCGTCGCGTCGGTCACGCATCGGCGCAAGCACAACCAAACAAGCGCGTCTCACATTTCAGGGCCGTTTGCTCCAAATTCCACTTCCCTTGCCACCACTACCACTACAGCGGAATTCAACGCGTCCAGTATCTCCCCCAATAAACCTACCCCATTTCATCTCCAACGAGGCGTTTTAACCCCCTCGGCTGCCAAAGTCTAAACTCTCATCGTCAATCAAGAAGCGTCGATTTAGAAGATGTGCAGACACTGCCGCGGCTCGGGCATGGACATGCTGTACGCCGACATCTTCGGCGGAGGACGGCGTGGTGGGTGGTTCGACCCGTACGATGGCTTTGGGCTCGGAGGCGACGTCAACCGCTCGTACTTCGCGCCGGTGTCGGACCGTGCCAAGGGCGCTTTGGAGAATGTGAGTGCCAGCACCTTCAGTCGTCTATTTTCTCGTTGAATGTACCACCGCTGACACGATACGACTCGGACAGGCGAAGGCCGCTTTCCTGAACCACCTCGCCACGGTCGACACTAGCAAGGGTACCGTTACCGACGAGATCGTCAAGTTCCATCTCGTCCCGGATATGAGGAAGGCGTTCAACAAGTTCGTCAAGGAGTACGGGTGCATGTCAGTCATTTTCGTCTATTTTGCGCATATATTCATGGTAATGACTGATGCCACCTGTTCTTTAGTGGCACGTCGCGTCAGCTCACTCGCGCTGAGCAGGATTTGATCAACAAGACTCGCAAGTCGGTGTGTCTCATCTCTTTGGTGAATTGGCATACACTCATGCATGCAATTGCTTCGTCATGTAGCTCATGTGGTACACCTCCGTCATTGTGACTCCGGAAGCGCAGCGTGCCTACCTCGAGAAGCACCCCAACATCGCAAAACCTGCCCGTACCACTGCTTCGGCTTCCACCGCGTCTACCTACACCGCGGTCGCTTCGACGTCGACCGCGTCTGCCAGTACTGGCCCGCTCAACGACGCCAATGGCCAGAAGATCAAGCACAAGCTCAAAGAAGCTGCTGCAAAGAAAGCTGCCGCCAACCCATCTGCGAAGAAGCTCAGTCACAAGAAGAAGGCTTAAGAGCCTGTTTATCATCGGAAGTCAACTTTGTTATGAATTTGTTCTTGGCCTGTTTTGCTTTTACCTTTATCATGCCCATGAAATATTGTACACTATCCCCTAGGCGCTGCTTTGTGGTGCCTCGTTTTGAACTCGCTACTCTCTGGATATGCCGGTACTTCAAAGATCCTATAGTTTCGTCTTCCGTACGCTCGTATAGTTATTGTTATGTACATACTTATTCTCTTCTGGCTTTCGTCCGCACAGTAAATCTTCATAACTCTTACTATACTCTGTTAACTATACAACACTACATCCAATGAAACCTTTCTACTTTTTCTACTGACCTCTCGATCCTAGCCGATTAGATTAGATCAACGATTAGATCCGAACTTTGGTGTGCAAGTTGAAGGAGCTGTAGTCTTGTGCGGCATGCGGCACGTCTTGCCACTGCTCCGTAACTGCTTCAATCGGTGCTGGAGAGGACCTTTGTTACGTCTCCAACTCTTCGTTTTTCAAGGTGCGCTATTTTCATTCTGGGAAACTCCGACAATTGACAACTCTCACCGCAGTGCTCGCAATGGCTACATCCGAGAACGACCTCGCAGACAACCACAGCACAGCGAACGATTCAGCCACCTCGGCCCCAAACAGTCGCACGGCAGACCGAGATATCGAAGCGATTCTCCAAGGTCTCCGTCTAACCGAAGATGTCACAAATGGACCCACAAACGCACCCACAACCAAAGACCAGATGGACACGGATACGTCTCCGAATGTCTTCCAGGTCCTTCCACCTGAACTCATGGCGGAGATATTCACCACTGTCTGCCATGCGGACTCGGACAAGTTCCTCTCCGACAAGCAGAGGCACAAACGCACAACCCCGCTTATCCTTTCGCACGTCTGCACCGCCTGGCGCACCCTCATTCACTCGACACCCCTCATCTGGTCGCACGTCTGCCTATGCCTCTCCCGCGGCCGGCTGTCGTCGCAAATCGACCTTCTCCTGGACTGGCTCATCCGTTCGGGAGCCTGTCCGCTTAACATCAGCCTTTGTTTCGAAAACGAAGACGACTGGGAAGGGGGAGAGACCGTTCCGCAGGAGCTCGTGAATCTACTCGGTTCTGCTGCAAGCCGATGGCGCTCGCTGAACGTCGTGCTGCCCGAGGGGTGGTACGCGTTTTTCGTCCCCTACCTCGAGCCACCAGATGGTTGTTCCACCTTCCTCCCACTCCTCACTGCGCTCACCACGCAGCCGCTCTGGACCGACTGCGGCCAAGCCCCTACGCGCAGGAAGCCCCTCACCCTGTTTCGCCACGCCCCACTCCTCTCTGACCTGCATTTGAATGGCTACTACCTCGTGGACGTATCCATGCCGTGGCCCCAGCTCACATCTTTGACTCTCCAGCACGTGTACCTAGACGAGTGCTTTTACGCGCTCTCGCGCACGCCAAACCTCACGTACTGCCGGCTGTACACGATCTTGGAGAACAACGTAGAGCGTGAAGTCCAGGAGACGGAAGTACGCTTGGACGAGCTGGAGCGGCTTATCATGTTCGGTGCCTTGTGGCACGACACCGTGCCTCTGTTGAGGAATCTGCGGACGCCGAAGCTCTGTAGCGTAGAAATATCTGCGCCGCAGGACGGGATGTTTGTTGGGGAGCTGGGAAGGCTGTTGCAGCGCAAGATGAGATGCACAGGCCTTCGTCGTCTGGCCTTGACGGACATGTTTGTCGTGGTTGAGGATGCCATTAAGGAGGTACAGGAGGACGGCGAGACCCAGGAGCCGTCGACACCTAAAGGTCTTCGCCCATATGAATTCCGAGAGGCTCTGGGTTCATTCGACACCCTCGAGGAGCTCGTACTCGAATTAAAAAGCGCGAGCGCACCTCTGCAAGGGTGTTTTCTTCTCGATTTGTTAGGCACAGCAGACTCGTCTGACCCGGCCGTCCTCCCCCATCTCAAGAAGTTTACTTTCTCCGGACATTTACTCTTCGCGGACCTCGTCGTATCAGTTCCTTCCACCCCTCCACCTCCTCGCGCCTTCAAATCCGTCTTCCCCTCGCCTCCTCCAATCTCCAGCGCCGAGCACTCCAGCTCGGCCTCAACGGCACCATCGTCTACAATCCAGAACACACAGTTCCTCGATTCTCTCCTTTCTGCGCTGGAGTTCCGGACGGACCCGCTCTCTGTGACCGAGGGACATTTGAAGGCGACGCTAGAGACGCTCGAGCTGCGAACGGACTCGGAGGAGTATCTTCTCGTGTTGGGCGAGCATCGAAGTGGTCGTGAGGTGATTGGTCAAATAGTGAGTAGGTCAGGCCGCCGGCTGGCACTTGAAGTCGCCTCTACTGAACAAAGGTAGGCTGGAGGGGCCGGTCGAGAGGAGTGGGGGAGGAAGACACAGCTAGTGTAGTGCAAGTTCTTGGTGGATGTCGTTTTTCGCTCTCCGCCTTAGTCAATAGTACCTGTCAAACCGCTTTGTATTTGCTTTCGAAATGTTCTGCCACGTAGTATTTGGTCATTGTAATGGTCACCAGGCACTAGTCACCTATCTGTATATCTCTCCCAAGCATCCGCATTCCATATATTTTTAATTCATTTACTAAAACACTTACTGCACTGTTCATTATCTGGTTTCGTGAGCACCGCGAAGTGTTATAAATAAAGAAGTGTCACGGAATGTACATAATGACTGGGCAAACGAATCGTATCTCATTCCGCCAGCCAGACGATCATATTCACCAGAACTCAACGAAAAATTCTCAATCTCAGACTCTCTATCCCCTTCCCTCGGCTAGGCAGGTGTTGTTTAAATTTGATAAAAAATGACACCATGATTGTATGGGCGCGTTTCCGCAAATGTGGCTTCGACGATGAAGTTGAGTGAGATGCCTGCTCATCTCCAGACGAAGGCAAGTCTTTGTCGCTGATATTTGACCGTGCAACCACTTGCGCTTCGGGCATGGATGTAGCTTGGGGCACGGAAATACCCGACGGGGGCCTAGGAGGAAGGCCGTCGTCGTCGCAGGAATAGGTATTTGGGGAAGATGTGGCTGATGAGGCATAAGAGCCGGAAGGCCAGCCGTGTGGAGGAGAGGAAGGTATTGCGAGTAAAGGGAGATGCGATGGGGTGGAAATCCACGCAGAGAAGGAGACTGTCTGTTCGGAAGCGCCCGCCGTTGAGGCAGGTGAGACGGAAGATATGGTGCAGCCAGCGGATGTGAGGCGATGCGAAATTAGAGGGATACTAGGATTACTCCTGGATGTATAAGTGGAGGATATCGAGGCGGAATACGACGTATCAGAGGAATTATGGAATGGAGAGACCCGAAGACGCGATGATTTGAATAGTTTGAGGATAGCGTTCCAGGACACACCACGGTCCAGATGTTCTTCATGAGACAGAGGGGCGGTAGCTTCAATCGAGAGCAGATCGATCGAGCGGGAGAGAGAAGCAAGGGTGTGCCGAATATCTTCACCGTTTGCCTCCCAAACGGTCGAATATTCTGTGGATTTATCTTCCAACATCAAGAGTTGACTTTCAGTGTGCTGGTCATCGCTTGAGGCCTGGAATCTGGCCTCTAAGGAGTCCCAGAACTGTGAAATCTCATTGAGGATGATATGAGTATCGATCAGTGACTGCTGGGTAGCTGTGGCCGACGAAGAGACGTCCGGATAGGCAGAATTGAGGCTAAATTGGACGAATTGATTGGCATGCGGTGTCAGTCCTCGGACGCGCGCTAATTGGAAAAACAAAATTAGACCTTCAACGCGAAGGGAGCAGGAATATTGACCAACCAGATAAAGAGCGACGTGGCCCCGCTACATTTCTGCTGGAGCGCTTTGAGATAAATTGCGAACTGGCATTCTGGAAACCTAATGATATCCCCGCGTTTCTGGCCACCAGTGCTTTGCAGGAGTTCTGGAGCTTCGCGACACTCTCTTCTATGATTTCCTTTAGGAAGGCCGCGCGCTCTTGCTCAGGTTCTACACCCGCAGTCTTTGATAAGATATAAAAGTCGTCAACGACTACGGAGCAGCTGTGAAGGAAGGCTTGGAGTCCAGTCCAGTGGTCCCTCAATGTTTGTCGTAACAAGAGAAACTCCTGGCGTGAGGGAGAGGGCTGTGTGTTGAGTACAGCGACGTCCAGGTCATAAACGGCAGCCATGGTACTCTCAACAGAGTCGGCCAATCTCTGTAGAGAGCTGCCGAAGTCTTCTGGATGGCGGCGCTAAGAGAATTCATGTCAGGTACGCGCAAAGAAGGGAGAATGACGCTCACTGCGACTGTTGTCTGACTGGATTCCATCGTTGAAGTAACGTCAAAAGGAAGGGAGGGTATATATCACGACTCTCTTATGCAGAAGACCAAGGCAACACAAAGGACGCCTACTTGCCGCATTTTTGAGTAGACAAACGCTTCAAGAGCCGGGACAACTGCAACGCACCTTGCGACAAGGGTCACCAGAGGATCAATTCAGCGTGTCCACCACGCCTTATCCACACGGTAATATATTAATTGCACCCACAATCCTTGAGGATTTCGTGTGAAACTTGTGGAAGACAGGCCATCGAAAAGCGATCGAAGTTAATTCATGGCGTGGGAAACAGGCCGGCACACAAGCGCCCATTAAGCCCCGATCAATCGATGTCGATCGTCTCTTCGTCTTGACCGTCCGTCTCTCCTGAGAAAACGAAGCAGTCGCCTGGTTTCCGCATCTTTGTGACTTGAAACATGCAATATATCCTAGACAAAGATGATGATCGTCCTTGCGCGAAACTTTTTGTTTCGTCTCGCCGTGGCTTCTCCTGCGAGGAAAAACATGAAGACGGAACAAGATGCCGAGCACGACACTTTTGACAAGACCTCATTTTTACCGAGAGGCTTTTCTCCGCACCACATTTAGTGCGAGAGTTTATATCATTGCTCCGTCGAAGAGAACAGGAGGTGACGCTCTGCTTCTTGAAATTCGCCAAGGCGCACACCGTGCAAGCAAAAAGATTCTGAAATTCTGCAGAACAGCGGCAGTTTCGTTGTAAGCAATATCACGTACTGCTCTAAAAAGAGCATGTGCTAACCGTCTCCTCTATCCTCAGATGGACCCGATGGCGATCGCGCTAAGGCAAGACACGAATATATCACAGCGCCCGGAAAATCGCAATACTTTTGAAGGAGCATGTAGCACGATTGCAGCCTTGCCAGAAAGTTGGAGTGATGCAGCGTGCGAGGATTCCTTCCCGCCTCTCGCCGTGGCAACAGACACTTACCATAAGTCTTTGGCAGATCCAAGCATCCCGAAGCGCAGCGAACCATTGAAAGTGCTCGAATTCAGGTTATAAGATTTGTAGGTGCACTGGGGAAAAGCAAGGATCTTGCGGAACGTGGACGGAGGACCAGTTGTGATGTTATCGCACGTTGCACTTTCATGCTTCAGCGAGATGAGCGACCTACCAACAAAGAGATCGCATCTTTCATCAAAGATATCCATCTACAAAGGGAATTTGCGACTATTGCCCAAGAAGTGAACAACGTTGCTCGAATGTTTCAAGACATTCGAAAGGAATGGGGAGAGGTGACTGGCAGTCTCTGCATCCTAATATTTATTAGTATTCACCTATGATGATCAGATTACGAAACGAGTGCCTGAAGTAGTTGCAAAGGTGGAAAGAGACCGTAAGAAGGCGGCTCGAAAGAAGACCCTCACCAAGACCTGCGCAAGAACCGTCAAGGCTGTTGGGGCTTGTAGCACGGGTTTGACCGCAGTCGTCGGCACCGCCGCCTTCGTATCCGCCGCGGCACCTCCGGTTATTATTTTGCTGCCGCTTGTCATTCCTTTGATCGCGCTAGTCACCGAAGCTCTCGAGAAAGTGTTCGACAAGAAGTCTGCCGGTATGAACAGCTCGTTCATATCAGAGAAAATGGGAGAGAATTGACCATGCCTTCTAGAGAGCGCGGCTCACGAGAGGAAATGCCAGGACGCAATGGAAACGTTGCACGACGTTGGCAGGGGCCTCGCTCAGTTCACTGAATTTATCAATACATTCGCAGATACTTGGGCCGAAATCGAGGTACCCATCCAGGGAATAAAAGAGAGACTAGAAGGGTCTCAATTTACTTCGTTCCACCTAAGGGCCATAAAACAGGGTTGGGAAAGGCTTGAGCAGTTGCAAAGGGCGTGTCTAGTCAAGGTGGGCTTTTCAATCACTTGCGTTCAAGGACTATCAATTAAGCCGCTCACTTGGTGTTGCAGATAGAAACACTTTCAGAATTGTCTTCGGTATCCCCACCTCGCCCCAAGGTTGGTGATAGCCGCGACAAAAGGGACGACAAGAAACTACTGTTGCATCATGACAATTCACGGACACCTCGTTTGTGGACGTCGGTTACGAGCACCGTAAAGAATAAGTGGAACAAGCTGCGGTCACGATCGTCGGGACCTAAAAGCCATGTAGTACCTCGGGGGGAAGGGACAGGCGGGATATCGAGCGTCGTTGTTCCAGGGATGTAGATTTATCTGGCGACGCAGGCGTGAAATCCGGATATTTGCAAATGGCCTGTTAGAACATGTTTCGTCTCGCATCACTATTTAGACAATTAGGTGACATACAATATTGAATCCAGCTGTTAATATATCCTCAGCGGTCTTGTGAAAGGTGTCGGCAAAATCCCGAGCACCTTCATCCTTGATGACAAGGCAGATATTAATTGAAGCTCGGCCCCAAATCAGTTTCGGTACTCTGGTCAAAGATATCGGAGTCTCGGAGAGGTCGCTGCCACCATTGACTTCAACCATGAAGATGGAGTAGATGAGCTGTCGCTGGTTATTCGAAATTCAGCTTTGGTAGTACCCTCAGGGTCAAGGACGTCGGAAAGGTCGCTTCGACATTCGTCGGCGATTCAGAAGACAACGGTGAGGAAATCGTCCTCCGTGGGCGTCGGCAATATTGCAGGCACGTTCATCCGAGAAAACGAAGACGAGAAGGGCAGGATGGCTGGAGTCAGGTACATGTCTTTTAACAATTAAATCGACGATTGAGCCTTTTATAAAGTACCGCCTATCTAATCGCTTACTAGGACTATAACAATAGATCTACCGGTGGCTCACTGGAACACCTTTCGTGCCTTCCAAAGTTGGATGTGATCTGTTATGTCCATCGCACTATAGTCTACCACGTCCGGCGGAGTGAACGAAGCGGAGTCGAAGGCCAACATGCTCGGACGTGACCATCGCTTAAACCGTTGGGGAGTCCTCCACGAGCGGGTGACGCTGTCGTCGGTGTATGCGTCGATGAATTGCAGCTTCTGGCAACGTTCGAAAACCTTGACCAGCCCCTTCCATTCAGGCCCGATAGAATTCAATCGCCCGGCAACAACTATGCCAACCAACGAGGGAAGTTGATACACGACCTCTAGTTCCGACGCCCTCTATTTGAACAGTTAGCCTCTAGGACCTGGATTGTGCGGCAGTGAACGTACGTCGAGATACAATTGGCAGAACTTCAAATTCTGAAAGTAAGGGATGTATTCTGATAGAGGTGGTGTCATAGTGTTTGGGCTCTCATAGCAGGAGAATGCCTCAATGTGGCTAAGTTCTTTGGCTAAGTGTTTGAAGGATGTTTTGGGGTCTCCCAAAAGAGTATCCCACACTAACGTGCGCAGCCTTCGATGAGGGAGGACCATCTCGATGATGCCGTGGTTACCAGTGAGCTGGTCCAACTTTGGGCAAACAGAAGGTGGGAGTACGACTGGCTTTGAAGGTCCGATGCCATGGGCTTGATAGGTCCAATCAGCCTGTAAGTGCCGGAGCTCATCCTGCTCATCGAGGAATGACCTAAGGTTCGCAAAGTCAGCCCCCTCGATCTCGTGATACCACGAGAAGGAGTGTAGCTTGAAGGGGCAGCCTTCTAGGATGTCCTGCGGATAATCCTGGCCGACCTTGATGAAAAGCTCCTTCAAATTGGTCATTGAAGCCAGAACTGCATGCAGGATGGTCGAGAGGCGCCGGCGATTTGTGATCGCATCGAATGGTGCACGAAATTAAGTATTTAGCGAGATGCGGATTATTAAAAAAGACAGATGGAGGGGCTCCATGATAATCGTCGCCGTTGTAATCGACAGACTGGTAGAGTGTTCGCCGAGCTTCCTCACAGAGAAGGTGGTTCGTTCGGGCGAGCGCTACCCACATGGGAAGGTCTTCAGCAGACCTATTGTCGTGTCTGAGAGAGTCAATTATTTGGAGGATTATCTCAACAGGAAGTGCCATGTTCTGAGAAGAGCTGGGTTGCGGCCTTCAACGCTGTCTGGTGCGGTTCAAGTTTTTAGGCTGCGGGCCTCACTTTTGGTATCATCTAACCCTTGAGAACTTCTTTGTGGATTTATGCAAAACGTTCATCAGAATGCGGCGTTGCTCACCTTGAAGCCGACGCAGATCGCAAGCCTGAAGCTGGCCTGTCCAAGTTCAAGGCAGACCGCGAAGGGTGACGGGTATGTACAGCCACATGATTATCGATTTATCTCTGTCATGAGAGCTCACATGATCCTCGGCAAAGGCCGCGAACACGTTTAGCATTTCACGACTTGTGTGGCCACTGGCTCTGCTATTGTTCTCAGGTCGTCCTCAGGGTTGCAGCAAGACAAGGACATGAAATTCGAACCCCGGTGCCCGGTATCAGAGTATTTTTGGCCGACGGCGGCTCACTTTCTCTCTTAAAACCACACCCTCACTCAACTCACGCTCTCCGCGGCCAGCCGTTTGCGCCCCTATTGCCCGATCCATTAGCTTTCAGCCTCAACTTTCTAACGACCACACGATGCTGCATGAATTTAAAGTCAGGTTAAGGAGGACCCTGGCCCCCCCAGCCTCCATTTCGAGCTCGAACGACACTGTTAGCATATCCGGCATCCTTGATTCCCTCTTTGCAGAGACACCTGGTCAAGATATCATTGAGGCACCTCCAGATGGCGCATCGGTAGGGAATGCAAGTTCATGTTATCCTTGCAAAGCACGCTGCTGATACCCCACCCATACGTTAGTGTCACCAATTCCACGACGCCGGGCATCTGGAGCGCGAGGAGGTCGTGGATGACAGTCCCGAAGTCCCAGAAATACTGGGGTATGACCATACCCGGGCAGAATCCGAGGGGATTAGAGAGCTAGAGAACCCTGAAGAGAGAGGCAACCCGAAGGCACAAGGGCCTGCGGACAATTGGCGTTTTCCCACTCCGGGAGATGACAGCGATGGCGATGGCGAACGATCATCGAATTCGACTTCACCTCTCTCATTGCCACCGACGCGAAATCAAAATACTGGTGAATATCCTCAGCACCCAGAGACATTGATTCAGATAAACCAGGAGATGGAAACACTCTACGAGCTCGAAAAGGAGCAGGCCGAACAAATCAACATCCTCTCTCGAAAAGTCTTCGCCGCTGCTTGGAGGACGAGCCTCTCAACTCCGAAGGAGATCCGGGACCACTGTCTTGGGAAGATAACAGACCTGCTGGGAAGTACGGTGGGCCAGGAGATTGACCTGGACGCAGGACATTTGAGAGGGAAAGGGAAGCTTCCTGAGCGGCCATACCGTCGGCACTGCGGGTACTCGCCTGTTACGAAGTGCGTTTCATTTATCATGAATGCTGTCTACGGTGCTGACCATACTCCTTCTGTAGCATCTCGCTTGCACGACGGCATGACGAAGCGCTCGAAGGTGTCGAAGAAGACACCTCCCTGGGGCGATCGTACACTCTCCCAATTCAATCCACGACGCCTCCTTTTACCTCCACCCCACCGAAGAAACGTCTCCGAGAAGAGGACGCCGTCGACGAGGAAGACTTGAGTACAGAAAATTGGCTCCATCGCTCGAGGAAGCCGCCAAGAATCCCATTTTCAAGCGAGGAGGCCCCTCCGACCAAGCGCGCTCGTTCGGATATGGATAGCGATTGTGCGACACAGTGAAGGGGGGGCCAGAGTAGGCCAACGTTCCGCCCTTCCAACTGAGTGCCAAAGAAAGAGGCACAGGAGGCAGGGAACCGACGAAAGGAAACGACCCACGCCGCAGAGCCTGGATGTCCTTCATGAGCGCCATTTCGGAGATGCTGGGCAACCCCGTCATCCTCACACCACGTAAGGCAGCGTGACGTCGACGGCAGAGTCGTTGGCTTCGAGAATTTCATGTTCACAAGGAGCGCTTCAATGGCGCCCAACCTCAAGGAAAAGAAAATCGCACGAAAGTCCGACACCAGTGGGCCCTTGAGACATTATTCAGTTCGCCCTTGTCTCTCTCAGCTATTTTATCTTATCGCTGAGTCGACCAACCGCGTTTGACACGTCTGCAACTCTACTACCACCTCCACTGCGCTGCCAACGACACCCCATTATTTGGAATAACTCTACCATGTTTCAAGCCTAATAGCAATGGAAGACCTCCCAACTGAACTACGAGTCGCCACTGTTCAACGTCACATACAATATCCATTCTGCTCACCGTCTCCCTCTGGAGAGCAACTTTTCTCGTTCCGATTTTCTTCTTGGACAATTGCGTGGGCACCAATATAAAGCCTGCACTTGTTATGTTCCTGGCCAACTGCCCTCAATATCTGTCTTCACTTATTCTTGTCCTTCCTTGACTGACGCCTAGACTCGGTCATTGGAAAGACTGTTCCTTGCGGTTCCTTGTACCGTGTAGGGCTCCTGCCTGTCGGAGAGGCTGCAAGATATAGTCCTAACCCAATTTTTCGTCAACACCTGCGTCCCGCCTGCGTCCTCGTCAGGGTTGGTTTCATGCTCTTCCCACTGACACGGACGCTGACGACATTTATTCAGGAATTTCACCTCTTAAAATATCGCCATCGAAACTTTGCATCGCCCGTGTGTTATGTGAGTATTTCACTCCTCGATGAATAAAAAAAATCCGGTTGACCAAATGAACACTACCAGTCCGTGGAAGCATGTTTGATTATCCCTGGGACGAAGCTACACTGTCCATCCTTGGGAAAGGTGCCACCGCGATCATCGAGTCCGCAGAAATCCATGGGCTTGCCGGGATTCTCGAAACCTTCTTCGAGACGTTCACAGGAGGCGGGACGTCCGAACATCGCGCACCAACTTGTCCTCATCAACCAGCATTGAAACCAGCCTAGCAGACATCAAGGTCGAGGTCGCCATGCGGGCATCGACAACCTCGTCACGCAAATCCGAGCCAGCGCGTACCAGGATGCTTTAGGTATCTATAACGCAATGACGACGGAGATTGCCCCTAGCCAGCAGAGTGTGTTGCAGCTCGTGTACAAGCCCCTCCTGGATAGGAACTTGGGCGCGCTCGACCTCTATTATGGCATGGTCAAATCGTTCTCGACCAAGCGCCTGCTCGTCACGCAGACCGTGGCGACCCTCCTGACGTTCGCAGCAAAGGCGTCCAAGGACGTCGCGTTACAGAGCCTCGCGGACGCCGTCTTGGTCTTGGGCAGCGCTGTGAAGTGACTACCTAGAGTTTGGCGCGACGCAAGTCTTGAATTCGAAGTTCCGAATGCTTGCCGTGTCTCCGTGCCAATAGAAAGGGCCGCGTGAAACACTGGTGCGTTCCGAAGCGAGAGTTTGACGGGGCACACCAGAATAAACCAGAACGAAATAATCGTTGGTAGTTTACGCGAGGTACGGAAATGGTGCAAAACCTTGCGAAACAATGAAAAGGCGTTGTGATAGGCATGCTTAGAGGTGAGTTTAGTGCGGTCTAGTACGGTCCATTCTTGAACACTAGGGTTTCTTTGGGGCTCCTGCTAGGGCTGCCAGTGGTCACACCGGTTACACCGCGCGGCACTCAGTTGAACGTCGACGGTCGCAAACCGCGGTCGAAGCCAGTATCATGTGGTCCTGGAAGAGGAGAATGAGGAATATATTGAACGTCATTGCCACTTGTCACTAGCTTCCGCGTCATTACTTACTGTTTGTTGACAAGCTCCAAAGTTCATTGTGTGGACGTTCAAGTAACATTGGGGCAGGCATAAGTAATCACAATGGATGTACAGAAAGGATTTTTTGGGGCTTTGTGTGTAATAAAATTCAGCAATGAGAAATTTGCTCCTTAAGCTCTAGCTCTGAGATCGCAGCCATGAGGTATGACTCCCGAATGACTCCCAGTCACGAGGTTATTGATATCGAGCTTGTAGGAGAACGCAGCCTGGGCAGCGCTGTTCGAATATGAATACATATATAGTGGAGAGGAACTTTAAACTTACAGTGCTCTAGGCGGGGCCGACTATGATAGAATTGGTGTTTGGGGTGAAGCAGAAGCCGTCCGCAAGCTGGGTCGCGCAGTGGGAAAGCTGTTGGCACGTTGGGTGACAATCCTTCCTGGTACAGAAGCCTACGTCCCTAGTCGACGCTATGCAATTAGTGTCGGGGGCATCGACGCACGCTGGCGAAGGGCCGCGGTAGACAGTGCAGCGACCACCGCAGATGTTGTTCGCGCGATGGGTGCAATAGGTGATCTGGAGGCTCTGGGTGTCGCGCTCAGCGAGCGGGTTGTCAATGGGCGGCTCGCCAGCGTAGGTGATCTCGGCATCGGTGGTTGCGAGCCAGTTCTTGAACTGGGCATCTGTCATAATGAAGGACGCGGGTGCCTCCTGGGAATTAAAGATAGGATGTGACTAGGGTATCAATGTACTGCCGTGGCGAGGACGTACGATGGTAGGGCTCGCAAGACCGACAACAGCAAGAGCTGCAAGGACGATGGCGGCGAAGAGCTTCATTTCAATCGAATGCGTTTGAGCTTGAGAGTGAATCCACTGAAGGTTTCTGAGTTGCTGGTGTCTCGAGTCCCTGTTTTTATACAAATCCATACCACAAATACGGATCAGTTGAGACTATACTGGGGACGTGCATGTGGTTTGAATCCTAGATTGGTGCTGGATGTATCGATACTCGGATATGGGTGTTCGTTCGCCTTGAGCGATTAAGTCACTGCGACTTACAAGTTTAATACGGCCCAAGAAGCACTCGGAAGACTCTGTGGTGACCACTGACAGCCAAGTATCGAGGAATCATTCTGAGAAGTTCTTCAGTTGCATCCATTAGATCCATTTAGAATTCCAGGATGTCGAATGTGACGTTGGGCATTCCTTATATGGTTATAAGTGCTATATCTAGCCCCGTGGCATGTTACGTAGGTAATATAGCGCTACGTAATGTAGTTCAACACTATTGTCGGCTGGGAGGATTTGCGGAGTACATTTGTTATAGAGGATACTGTGTCCATGTGTCCATTTTTATTATCAGCTTGAGAGGAAACAACTTGAAATATGGTGAGCTGAACTCGAAGTCGCGAAGCGACAGCCAGGTGCTTGGTCAAAAGACCGCTCAGGAAATGACGCCTAGATTTCTGGCTGCATGACTTGGAAGGATATAAATAGATTCAGGAGTGATTATCGCGAGCAAATTGGCAGGTGCAGAACCCGGGGGATCGACATGCGGCTGATTTAGAAACTTCGATGTTGGCAAAACGTACCACAGAACCGCGCACGTTTGAGAGGGCGGGGCCAGGCATTAAGACGGCCTCCCTATTCCTGAACATCGAATCCTCAAATTTATGAAAACGTAATAAGATAGCAAGCGGTATCCATTAATTCTACAAACCTCGAGAAGATTCGACATTGTCAGGCTGGACTTTCCTGGGTGTCATTTGACGCCATTGGGAGCTCCTAACACTATTTCAGGAATTATTACGCCCCTGTCGCAGTCTCGAAATAATTGCTTCGATTCCTTCATCTGTGCTCTATATCGTTTCGAAGGAGACTTGCCCTTGGCCATGAATGTTGACCAGCCTGGGGTTAAAGATCGGACACCACACAGACTGTGTATCCCAGTGGCTTTTGGGCCAGTACCTAGTAAGTACATCGAAGCATGACGCCAATACGACGAAAGGACGCTGTCAATTAAACGACCCGATGGGGGTTTGTAAAGCACCGAGACGTGGTCGCGGTCGCTGGGTCAAGCATGCATGTATCCGGTACCTCAGATAACTGAGAGGCCCGTAAGGCTGTAGTATCCTCCATGGTGACGATAAAGAAATGCATTCTCTCATGTCATCCTTGAAACAACCTCTCATTCGCGGTGACTCGAGGCCATCAAGGACATCGATCTGCAGAGCCGCAGACATCATCTCCTCGTGGAAGTAGTGTACACGCGTCAGATGGCGATCGTCCGGTGTTGAACGGTGGAAGTCAAGCATCTCAGAGGGGGAGATCAGCTGGGGGATCGCAGGGGACGCGAAAAAGAGCACTATCACAGGCAGTCTTAGCACTAGCTGTGGGGGGATTGCGCCGATGCAGAACTGCCATAGCCCGCGACAGACTCAAATTCTCTCATCACGATCATTCGCGAGGATGCGAATTTGAAAGAAGGAAGTTTGAGCGAGAGGGTTGTTCTTCAACATTCTTTGAGCGTTCGATTGTTTACCTCCCTGGCAGTGGGGCAACAGGATGCTTTGGGTCGGTAGACCTTCGCTTAGAATTCCTGATTACCGTGGTCATTCAGACTCAGTACCAGTGTACACTCACAGTTACACCCTCAGTGCAGTAATTTCCGTTCCTCAGACCTAGCTTTATCAGGTCAGCCAGGTTCTTGGGAGTTGGAAACAAGTTATAAGTAGCGTCAAAAATCACCCCTGTCTCCCCGTTCAACGTCGAATTGACGATATGGGCGGACCGGCGGGTTCGCTCCGGCCAGAGGAGCCACAAAAATCGACTCGCATGGCCTTCGGCGAATGCCGCGAATACGTTTATCCTAGATTCCCTTTTACAGGAGGTGTCGCGCCGCATTTGGCCTCAGCCACAAAGCCGCCCGCCATTGTTCACCTGAGAAGGTTGACGCGTACGCGTAGGCCACAGGGAAGCGAAAGACAAGTCGGAGCCGTAGGGATATAAATTATGGCCCGTTTGTCGCTTTTTGTTTTTCTTTCTCTAACTACAACCCCCACCACCGTGCCCGTTGTCCCCGCCCTTTCAGCCACCACCCAGCCTTTGTTTCCACCATCCTACTTATATCAACCACACCACTCGTCCACAATGTACTCTGCCGCTCAAGCATCCTCCTCTTCGCATTCTAACGCCGCCTTCGCCACCGCTGTCGATGCGCTCCCGACGCCGCAAATGCCACTCGCTGGCTCAAGCCGTGGACCGATCAACAATCAACAAAACTCAAAGAACACAGTCTCGAGACGCCTCTCTCAGGAGGCGCTCGCCGACGCCGACGTGAACATTCCATCGGGCTGCGCAAAGGTGAGTTTCACGCCTTGCATTCTTATGATTCTGCTCATTGACGATCGGTCCACGAACTAGGAATCCAGGCGCGCGGGAAGGGAACAGAGCCTCGATGCTATTACCAGCATTCCCCTCGCGCAGGAGCGCTTTCCATCTCCGGCAGGCGACAGCGAAGCCGCGGGCCCATCGAATTCGACGACGACACTACCGCCGCATCCCGCCACGCGAGCAGACGGAGATCAAGCCGTCCACCAGTTCACTTACGTCCACCTCGCGCAGATCATGCGAGAGATCGAAGGCTCTTACGAGCTCGAGGCGCGTCAGGGAGAGGAGATAAAGACCCTCTCCGAGCAACTGTTCGCTGCGGCATGGCAGGCGAGCATGTCGACGCCGCAGGAGATTCGGCATCGGTGCCTCGGACGGGTCACCGATCTGCTGGGAGAGGGAGTGGGGCAGCTCGTATCCTTCGATGGGAGGCATCTGCGGCTGGAAGGAAAACTACCTGAGAGATCGCCGTCGTGGGACTTCGGGAATCTGGCACCAGGGTAAGTACTCAGCGTCTTGTGATTCAATGTTGCAACACTGACAGTCTGACACTATTTTCATAGTCCGGTTTTGTCCCGTGGTGCCGAGCAGAAACGGCGGCGCAAGGAGTCTCGCGAGGAAGTCGTCGCGGCGGAGAGTCTCCCCTCAACGGCCGCCACGATTGAGCACTCTCTGGACGACGCCGGTCGTCCCATGAAGCGTCGCCGGCTCGATACAGAGAACGTGTTTAACACACAGGAGGCAAGCTGGGCGGCCCAGGTATTTGAGGAAGAGAGCGAGCTCCAGGACGACAGGGGGGATGGAACGGATCCCGACAGCGATGGAACGGATCCCGATAGCGACGGGACGGAACCCGACGATGACGCCGAGGATCCAGCTCCTCAAGCTTCGACATCCTCTGCCTCTTCGTCATCCGCAAACGTTGCCAACCCCGTCGCCACGACACCTCCACAAAGGCCACGTGGCCTGCAACGCGCAAGCACCAGCTACGACCTGTCCTTCAACGAGTCCCTGTCCGCTCTCCCGCCAGCGCCAACGACACCCCGACCCAAACCGAAGAAAAAGGACCGACCCCAGCATATACCAGTGCCTTACTCGCAGGCGGCTGGGACCTGGCAGGAGAAAGGGGTGCTTGAAAGGTGTTGGGATGGTTGGGGGTACATCGACGGTCGGTTGTACTTGAATGCGCGGGAAGAGGCGAACCAGGAGAGGATGGTGACTGATTGGATCGACCGCATCTGATTTCTTATCTCATCCTGTCTGATCTTTATCTTATCATCACTTCGGGCTGCGTGACTTAAAATTTCGGTTCAATCCGGACTTGTATTCCTTCAATGTTGTATTCTAGGACTCGTACTTCGAGACATGACCTCATAATATTTGAATTCTGGGAGGGATAACCTACAGGAAAATTTAACCATCAACGGAGCCAGGAGACCTGCAAAGATAGCCAGATATTGTGATCTGGCAAAAGCAGGCGAATTTTTGCACACTTTGTTTCGCTCGCCGCCTTGGGGTAATTCACCGGTCCCAGGGAGAAAGACACAGTTGGCTGTAATCCTACGACGCAATACGTATACTTACCGTCTTCACGTAAGGTGGCATGCCACCTCCTACTAGTATCCGTTGTCATTTCCTTTCAGTTGTATTCAGTGTTTGATACCATACCAACCACCCAGGAAGAGCTTCGTTAAATACGTTGTAAATGCCTTCACCCAAGGAATGCCCAGATGTTGTCTGCGTGGTGGGGTCGGAGTGGGCATTTGACCCACTTAGCACACTTTAAATCATTGAGTGAATTACCTACCGATTAGTCTTCCCATCTCCCCGAAGTAATCAATACTATTAGCCGTGGCTCGAGTTAGGTGAAGAAGGAACGACTCAGACTGGGAGGAATCAAATTTGCCTCGTCACCGTGAAGTTCATATTGTGATTAACATTGTAAAGCAAGTAATCGCGTGTTCGGAATTACATGTCTAAATCTGACACTTCATGTCCCTCTGTAAGAACATAGTTCTCTTTTGTCCGAATTGCCTCTGTGAATGGATTGACATTGCACAAGCTGGCTGAGATCTAGCAAAGGAAGTTCTCAGAAGCTGCAGCTTTGATAGATGACGACCGTATGACGTCCACTCTGAGAGAAGTGATGGTCCTTCCCGTAAGGAACGTCTATCATGATGGCTCGATGGGCTCAACACGAAGACCGGTGGACCTAAGTAATGAAAATTGAAAGCCAGAGGAAGACCGTTGCAAGACCATTGTTCTCAGAGTATCATGGAGTTCTGGCGTGGAGAGGTCTCTATTATTCAGGAAGATAGTAGTCAAAGAATATCAACGTCTTACCCGAAGCGAGTACATACCCAACAATTATTGTCTGTCAGGTAATACGGTGTACCGCTGCTCGCCAATCCGTACCCCACCTCAACCCATTTGAACGATTCCTGGACGAGAGACCTTGCGCCTAGAGAGATACAGCCTCGGGGATGCCAAAGACCCGGCGTCCAGCTCTAGAGAAATCTAAAGGGATGGCCCTCAATTCGATGGGCGGACCGGCGGGTCGCTCCGGCCAGACGAGTCTGAGAAAGCAATTTAGGATGTTCGGCGAATGCCGCGAACACGTTTATTCCAGCTTCCCTTTTACGGAAGCTGTGGCACCTAAAACAGCCACCACCACACCGTCGCCCGCCATTGTTCACCTAGGAGGGTCAAGCCTCAGGGAAGGAAAAGAAAGTCCGGAGTCGCAGGAATATAAATTGCGGCCCTTTTGTCGCCTTTTATTTTCTTTCTTCAACCACAACCACCCACTGCCACCTCTGCCCCCGTTGCCCCCTCTCTTCGAGCCACCACCCAGCCTTTGTTTGCCCCATCCTATATCAGCCACACACCTCGTACGAAATGTACTCTGCCACCCAAGCGTCCTCCTCTTCGCGTTCCAACGTCGCCGTCGCTATCGACTCCGATGCGATTCAGACGCCCCAAATGCCACTCGCTGGTTCAAGCCAAGGACCGATCGCGAAACAGCACACTCCAAATAATAGCCCTGAGAGCGTATCCTCAAATGAGGCACTCTCAGACCTCGACATCAACATCCCCTGCAGCCAGACGCAGGTGAGTTTTTATGCCTTATATTCTTATGATTCTGCTATTGACGGTCGGTCCGTGGACTAGGAACCCACAGTGATGGGCATGTCTACTTCGCACGAATCGCGGCCGCCTATTCCTTCCTCCCAGTCTCGTGGGCACCACAGCTTACCATCGACATATCTGGCTCTTGCACGAACCATCGGCGAGATCCAGGAGCTCTACGAGCTCGAGGTGAAACAGGGGGAGGAAATAAAGGACCTCTCCGAGCAGCTCTTTGCAGCGGCATGGATGGCGAGTATGTCGAGGCCCAGGGACATCCAGTATCGGTGCCTCGGGCAGATAACTGATCTCCTGGGAGAGGGGGTTGGACAACTCGCATACCTTGACGGGAGGCATCTGCGGTTGGAGGGGAAGCTGCCAGAGAGGCCACCGTTGTGGGACCTGGAAGATCTAGTACCAGCGTACGTTTGTTTATTCCTCCAGGGGGCAAAAATGAGAGGCTGACGTTGCTTTGGTAGCCCGGTATTTCCCCGTCGCGCCGAGCAGAAACGGCACCGCGATGAAGTCGTCTCCGCGGAAAGTCACCCCTCGAGGAGTTTAACAGCCGCAGCGACTGAAATCCGTCAGGACGGCGCCATTCGTCCCGTTAAGCATCGTCGGCTCGAGACGGAGGAGTTGTTCAACTCAGAGGAGGTAAAATGGATTGTAGAGGTCTTCGAGGAAGAAGGCAGCGGGTCTCAGGACGACCAAGGCGATGAAACCGACCCCGACACCGACGGGACGGAGCCCGACGACGACGCCGAAGACCCAACAGCTCCTCGAGCTTCGACATCTTCTACGTCCTCCAGCAAGCCCGCCTCGTCATCTGCCGACGCTACCCACCCCGTCGCCACACAGAAGCCCCGGGGACTCCAACGTGCCGCTTCCTTCTGTGACCTGTCCTTCAACGGGTCCCTGTCCATACCTTATTCATAGGAGGCTGGGACCTGGCAGGAGAAGGGGATGTTGGAAAGATTCTGGGAGGGATGGGCGTACATCAACGGCCGGATTATCCTGGATCCACAGAAAGAGCTGAAGTAGGACGGGGACGCCGACGCTGAGGATGAGCGCTGAGCGCTGAGTACTGAGTTGCTGGTGGCGGATAGGGTTTGCCTTATCTGATTTCATCGCTTATCTTATTGTTATCTCATCTCGCACCTATTTTTATCTTATCGCAGTCCGTTTGTACTCCGTCGTAGAAGATTGGTGTTAGAGTGTTTACATCTGGATATTCATTACTTCACCGGTCATTTAGAATCCAAAGGACATTTGCACCCATTTTGAGACAAGCCTACGCTCGATCCAATTGCGTGAAGGAACTTCAGGTCCTACCCACAGTCGACTTGTGTGCGCTATCTCCTATACGGTGAGTCTGTGATCTGGCAGAAGCGAACGAGATGTCTACGCACTCTCTTACAGTGGCCGATTAGTGGCAGTTCCTCAGCCGCAGTACAAAAGATACAGTTGACAGTAATCCCATGGCGAGGTAGAGTGACACTCTTCTGGGAAGGCGCCACATCCTATTTGTCGTCAGACCTTGTCAGTTATATTCAATGTTTGATCTCGTACCGATAACCTAGGAAGAGTTGCGTTAAATACCCCGTGAATGCAGTGGCGAATGTCGTCACCGGTAAACCCCAGATATCGTCTGCGTGACGAAGGCCGAAGTGGGGATTTGAATTCGCTTAGCACCTCCGACCGCTGGGAGAATCACTGACCGACTAGCCTTTCCGTTTTTCCGAAGTGAGCAATGCTGATCGTGGTTCGAATTTATTCGCAAGTGAAAAAAGAACGCACGGTGACGGTGGCTCTTGGGCTGAGATAGTTAGATTATGCGCCATCTCTGCGTCCAAAGTGTCGAGACGGTCAAATTTCGATGAGATGGGCGGACCAGCGGACCGATCCGGCCAGAAGTCACGAAAATAAACTCACATGCCTTTCGGCCAATGCCGCGAACACGTTTATCCCAACTTCCCTTTTACAGAAGCTGTGGCACCAAAAGCGGTGACCACCACACCGTCGCTCATCTGAGAAGGTCGAGGCGAAGGCGTATGCCTCAAGGAAGGGAAAGAAAGTTCGGAGCCGTAGGGATGTAAATTGTAGCCCGTTTGTCGCTCCTTTGTTTTTCTTTCTTCAGCCGTCCACCACCACCGAGCGAGCGCGTTGTGCCAGACCTTTGAGCCACAAACCAACCTTTGTTTCCAACATCATATATCAACCGCACCTTCATCCACAATGTGCGCTACCACCCAACCATCCTCCCCATCGAATTTCAACTCCCCTATCGGTATCACTGTCGATGCGCGCCAGACGTCCCGCAAGCCATCCTCCAGTTCAAGCCATGGACCGATCACCAGTAAACACACTTCAAAGAACATGGCTTCAAGACGCCTCACACAGGAGGCGCTCTCCGTCCTGGACATGAACCACCCTTCCCGTTAGGCGAAGGTAAGTTCTATCTTTATATTCTTATGATTCTGCTCACTGACGGTCGGTCCGCGTACTAGGAGACCGGGGCGACAGGCATTCCAGCCAGGGGGAATCGTTTCGCGTCTCCACTCGGCGGCACAGGCCGCAAATATGAAGGTGCCTCCACTTCGCGCCGAGAACGATACCTGCCATCCTTACAGTCTCGGGGTGATCAAGGCCTCCTGCCATCCACCTACCTGGACATCCCACGAGGCATGCTCGAGATACATGGTTTCAACGAGCTCGAGGCGCGGCAAGGCGAAGAGATCAAGGCACTCTCCGAACAGCTGTTCGCCGCGGGCGAGCATGTCGACGCCTAGGGACTTAGGACGGATGTCATAAGGAGCCGTGGCTCGGCTACAGGAACTCGACGACGATGCGACAGTCCCACATCTCCGGAAGACGGCCCCCAATCTACAACCGTGCCGTCGGGCAAGCGGAGGCGCGAGACCCAGAGCAAAGATGGTGTCGTCAACTCGGAGAATTCCTCGTCGAGGGGCTCAACAGCGGCAACTGATATCCCTTCCGACGATGCCTTTCATCCCACACCCAACGCCGTCGATGGAAGCTGATTTCGACGCAGAAGAGCCAAGCTGGGTCGAAGAGGTAGTCGAGGCGGACGACAGTGAGACCAAGGACTACCAGGGCGATAACACCAATCCTGGCGGCGACGGGACGGAGCCAGACGACGACGACGAGGCCCAACAGCTCCTCAACCCTCCACGCCCTCCGACCAGCCTCTGCCCACCTTTACCAAGGCTGACCCTGTCGCAGCCAGCGGAGCAACAACCCCGGGGCCTCCAACGCGCCGCCTGGAGCCTCGAGCTGTTCTTCAACGGGTCTCTCTCCCTCGCAAGTATCAGCAGTGCCAGTACCCGGTTGCCAACCAAAGGTCCAGCGCCCTCGCAGGCCAATCAAGATGCCTTTCTCGCAGGCTCCTAGGACCTTCCAGCAGCATAAGGCGGTAGAGGAGACGTTCTTGGAGGGTGGCAGATAATCGACGGTGTGCTGTACTAGGATCCGGAGAAGGAGCTGAAGGAGGAGGACGCGAGAACGGATGTCGCCACTGACGGTGAGGACGGCGACTGAACCAAGGTTGGTACCAGCTTTACTTATCGGATCTGCGTTTCTTATCTGATCGATCTTCGGGTTTTTATCTTATCACTTCAGACTTACACCCGTCGACTCGGAGAAGACTCTTGATCGCAAGCCTTGGCTTGAATTCCTTCGCAGCGTCGCCAGCGGTAGGCAACTTCAGTTAAGTTGCCTCTCGTCTATTGAAAACTGACGCTATATTTGAACCCTACCGTAGAAAGCTACAGGGCGTATCTTGACGCCTCCACTGATTTCCGATGGACCTTCCGAGTCTTGCGGGTGTTTGAGATAGCGGGACTACGATGCCACAAATTGCACCTCAGCAGTTCTGGGCGAAGATAGCTCAATGTGGGTGTCATTTCCTTGAATTTTTCCCCTTTAAAATGCCTGCCTCATCTTGTCTCTTCTACAGTGGCACGAAACAACAAGTAACGTCGCCGGAGCCTGACTCAGATATTCTCTTTCAAGCTTTCAGCCTAGACTTTCTAACAAGCATATCATGCCAGTGCGTTTCGTCTCTTCTGAATGCTGTACATGTTCCTGACCTACTGCTCCTACTTCTTCTGCAGCATGTCACTTGGACGGCGTCCCGACTCGAAGCTTGAAGCTTGAAGGCCTACAGGAAGACACCCTACCTGAGCCATCTTACACTTCTCCACTCCGGTCAACGATGACTCTAACCTCCACCCCACCAAAGAAACACCCCCGAGGAGAGGTCGATGTCGACGAAGAAGACTTAATCATCAACAACTGGCTTCACCGCTCGAGGAAACCGCCAAAGATTCTATCTTTCGACGGGGCCCCTTCAGCCATGCGTTAGTGCGTTCCATTTCTTCTTTTCTTCTAGATGCTCTACGAGTTCCTAACCACACTTCTGCTTCTTCTGTAGCCTGCCATCGTGACCTCATAATATGACCATCATACGTGCGAACTGATCCGCTTTCCACTCGGAATACTCCTGAGAGATACTCAGTACACTTTATTGATACAAGCCGCCATCCAAAGGTGACGTCTAGTCTACTTGCTAAGTAGATGAAAGCAAGAAAGAAAATTACACGAAAATGCGGCGTACAGTACAAATAATCATGATGTGATTGAGGAACGTCAATGTTCGTATGGATCTTGGATATGCAAAATGCGAGTGGAGATGAGATGAGTGCTTGAGATGCTTGAGATATTTTGAAACGTGGAATTTTGCCCGCCGCCTCCAACCTTCACCCCGCCTCGTTAACGTCAACGCCAACGCCAGGCCTCTACTCTCCTAGCCCCACCAGTACCATCATCGTCGCGCCGGCGAATAAGCTGGCCACAGCCAACGCCCGCTTCATCATCGTCGATTCCGCCTTCTTCTCCAGGACCGGCGGCGGCGCCGGTCCGCTGGGCGAAGGTAGAGACTCGACATCTCCTGGCATGGAGTCTACACTCGAGTCGTGCGAGTGGTGATGATGGTGAACATGTTGCGAGTCCACAGGCCCTCCATGCCCGTGATGATGATGACTATGCCCGTCGACGTCGCCGTAGACGAAGTCGCCCGCGATCATCTCAACGGTTGCGGCGTAGATCAGCAGGCCCGCCGAGATGGCGGACATCACTCCTTGGATAAGGAGCATTTGGGCTATAAAACGACAGTCATCAGTATCGTTATTCGAGATATTAAAAATAAAATGAAACTGTCGAGGAAGAATTGATGTTCGAGGAAGAAGTTAGAAAGCCCACCTTCGTCGCTCTTCCCTTTCTCTCCACCCCAGAGCATCATCCCAACTCCCATTCCAAATGGTGTCGTAACTGCGAATAGCAGCGACAGTGTCGGCTGTAGCCAGTGGATGTCCTTCTGCCAGATTCCCCAGCATCTCACGTCGAGCACCCTCTTCAGAGCGGCCCAGAACCCCGTATTTGAAGGTAGGGGTTCCCTAGGTGGACGCGGTCTTGTCTTCGTGCTGGCACCAAGGAGAGGCGAGCGAGGCGAAGAGCTTTCTTCCTGCGTCGGCGAATGCACAAGTGTGCCTCCATTGACAGCCAGCTGCTCTCGAGCTGCCCTAGCTTTCCTAGCCTCCTCACGGTCCGAGCCTGAGGACGCACTTCGACCTCTTGGTTCCTCCTCTACGTCCTCCAAGTCGTGTCCCGAGTGGCGGTAGTGATGTTCACGCTCATGCTCGTGACTATGCCCGTGCCCGTGCTTCGATGTTGAAGGTGGCAGGGCCGCTATCCGAATACCCAACGATAGACCCTCGAACAGCTGGTGGAAGATGATCGCCGTCGTCAAAGATGCTGGAACGCGCGATATGTTAGCCTTATGACCCCATGACGAAACAGATAAATAGAAGAACGCCGAAGCACATGTCGTACGTCAAATCGAAGGACGGGAATTATATATGCGGCAAGACAGAACTGAGGGGATAAGATTAGAGACGCACTGAAGTCGGATCCTGAGGTGACAGCGAGCGTGAGGCCGATAACGAGTGAGTGGATCATGATGCCAAGTTGGAGGACCTGTACGGTCATGGGGTCAGCGTAGGCGATAATGGACACAAGTTCATTCGTCGACGCTTCCTCCAAGAAGGAAGGATCGCGAGGACGAACGAGAGACCATGCTCTAGGAAAAGAAAACTCACAAGTACGCCAACAATCTGTCGTCGCCGCCCTACGACCGGACGATGGTGGTGCTGACGTTCCTCATGGCTGTGACGGCGCCCGCGACTTCCTTCGACCTCGTCCAATCCACTCTCTTCGCTCGACTCCGAATCCGAATCAGGGCCCAGCACATGCTGACAATCTCGTCCATGCGTACGAGTACGGCCTTGTGCCAGCCCAAGCCGACAGATTCTCGGCGAGCCCGCCAGGACCTCAAGGGGAAGCCCTACGACAGCCTTGGCCTGGGCGAAGACATGGTGTAGGTGGTGGTGGTGATGATGATGAACAGGGAAGGTATGCGCAGGGTGAAAGTGGAGGGAGGCGCTGCGTTTCGGTCCGGATGGTACGGGCTGTGCTGCGATGAGCAGCGGTGTGCTCTCTGTCGCAGCCATGCTTGGGGGTAGCGTAGGGAACCTGGGCGATCGCGGTGGAGATCCGGGTGAGAGCGGCCTTGACCTTGACCGTCGTCTTGTCCGCGATATGCTCCGCGTGCGGGGCTTTGGTGACGTCGGCGGTGTGTCGACAGGAGTCGGTGGAGCTGAGGGCTTGTCTTGCAGGTGCTCGACGTACGTCGTCGAGACATCTAACGAGGCTCATCAGTACGATGTCGATAAGAGGCAGAATCTCGGAGGCGCACATTCGACGAGAAAGATGGACAACAACGACGTAAGACTAACCAAAAATAAAACGTTTCAGTGAGGTGTATGGAAGCTAGCAGAGATAGGAACTCACATAATCAATCCCGTCCACTTGCCTACCTTCCCATACCACCTCTCTAGCACCGGATTCTGCAACGATCGAAACGCATCGTCGAGGAGGTGGATGAAGGCGGTCGCGAGGATGACGCCGGTCCCAAAGTGCTTCCCGATGAAGAACAAGATCCCTGGTATCCGCAACGATGGGACCTGCTTTGATATAGTCGGGAATGACACAGCTAGCGCCCACGTCAGCACTCTGCCGCCGCTGGACGATGGGTCTTACTCACCGAAAAGCGAGACAAGGAGGATAGCGCCCATGACACCCATCCTAGGCTCGACGCCGACAGCAACAACGGCGGCGAGGGTCGTTGCACGGAGGTATATTGGCGGTATTGTGGGCATTTTGAAAGACCTCTGGTGGGTGGTAATGGAGGTTAGAGGAAGAAGAGCACATCTTGGCGTTTTATCAGGACTGGTGAGAGCAACCTGCAGTGAGGACCGCTCCAGTCATTCGTCAGCCAATCGCAGGTCTGGAATTTAGGTGTCATGTGAGCGCCTCCTTTCCTATGTTTAACATTGGTCCAGAGTTCGAACCTCGCTGATCGTATTTTTCTCGAGAATTTTCTGGATGAGCGCTCGGAGACACATCCATGATACTTTGGGAGACCGTGAGCGGTATAAATGTGGTGGAAGGTGAAGACCCTCTCAGAACCAGGCTGACCAACGAGGGTACCTCTCCAGTCGGGCTAAGCCTCCTCTTCTCCCGGAAGGCGTACGCAATTCCCTTCCCAATACCTTCCCGGTTGCCAATAACCTTACCTCGGTAGGAAAGGACGTACACGTCTCTCCACCGCTGCCCGATGATTGGCTCATCGAGGTGCTCCTCGCACATGTAGTGCCTTCCATAGCTTTTGAGAAGTAGCAATGCTTCGAATTTGAATGCTCCTCACTGTAGTTCCCCTCTTATTTCCGCGGCACGTATTTTCTCTCGACCCATTTCCCCAAGGCGGACAGACTATACGAGCTCTCCCCCGTGCACGAAGTGCGTCTGGATGAATTTAAATTAGAATTTAGGTTGCATCGATGATCGGCAAGCGAAATGTGGAAAGAGAAGGTAAAGGGCATATGAATATTCGAATGCTTATGCACCTCGAGGCATAAACTCCAAAATCAGAAAGCGAGAAGATGAATAAATTCAATCGACCAACAAGACCTAGCAAGTTCCTCCGACCGAGCTCCGAAATTCCCGTTCAATCCGCGTTGTCCTTACACGTCGGGGTTTACAAAGTATAAAGGCTATTTATACGTGAAGGCTCGATTTAGCGCTATACTTTGCCTATAGCAGGGCACAGGAAAATTTTACTCATAGAAGATAAATTTCGCAAGAAACTCCGATTTTGCATTGAGGTCCCCATCAAAAACTTCTTTGTACGGGGCACCCGACAAAGAATCGAGAGCAACGTCGGGCGTATTTCTTCATTTAAAGTGGCGAAATTTTTTATACGCTTATGAAATAAAGAAAAATCCCCTTTCTACTTTAAATAAAGTTTTTTTCTCGATGTGGCTGTCGACAGAGGCCTCCACGTTGCAGCATATATAATACACAAAAGAAATTCCACAGAAACAAAGATGCTTTGTAGACTTCCAAGAAGAATCAAGCACTCCAGTCGTGGAAGAATTCTCTCTACATTGTACGCTACTTTGACTAGGCCGCAACATCGTACTCCCACGTATAAACGGCCTTTATACTTTGTTGCCCCCGACGTGTTACATGTCTGTTCCACGCTGGTATACATTCGGCATCACCCAGCCTCTTTGCACTGCCAGCTTTCCGGGGACAATGGTCTTAGTAATGACCAGGATTGTCGATCTTCGAAAACGGCATTCGCACGGAGAAGCCTTCGAAAAACACACCTCCGCTGATTGGATGGCTTAGAGGTCGAACATATTGAGACGTGTATTGTCTCGCTGCCGGCCCACGGCGCCACATATTCTGTAGAAGGAAACGCAGGATGAACACGGTCGCGGCATTCGCCGAACACCGCGTAAGCGGGTGTAGTACGCCAGACTAACTGCCCTTCCGGATATCCAGTGTTGGATGTAGCTATGGCATACTTTGGGAGCTCATACACGCATAGGCATAACATTGTAATTTGTGGTTGGAAGAGAGCGCCCATCCTCCGAGCACCACATTTGTATACGCTGTTTCCAGTTCATGCTATACAGCCAGGATTAAAGCGTATCCACTCTGGAGAGCTTCCTGACGATCACTCACCGAGAACTTCTTGATCAATCGATGCCCCACCGGTGCAGTTTCTACACCGAAACAAGGCATGACTCATGCCTTCGTGTAGAAGCATGTATAGCACCGCCGAGGGCGCTCATAGTCCTATACCGGCGGAGCCAAAATAGAACACATGGCATAAAAATTTCTTTGACACTCACCCGACATCAGTCTTCACGCCGACCGCATCGACATCATGATATCCCTCCTTTCATCTCCGTGGGCTTTTGTACGCCTCGAGAAAAGAAGCACACCGTAACGGTCTGAGAACACCAAATGCTCAGAAATATCCTCAGACGTGATGAGTTAGCGTCCAGTCATTGGCAGCGGAACTCCACCGACACGCCAGTACGGTATACATATAGGACCGGAAGATGGACCAACACCATATATACCTGGTACACGCTGTCCTTGCTCTGCACTTACACCCATGCCACTCAGTCTTGAGACAACTATCGGTATGATCCTCGTTTAAAATCAACAACATGCTGCTCATAGCTCGCCTCACAACAGGCGCTTCCAGTATTGGGGCATTCCATAATGAATCCCTTGACATACGATTTACGAGCGCTTATCGATTATTATCTGTCATCAGTGAACACCTTTTTCTATGGAATTGTCTGCTACCAATACATGGCATACGCCACAACGAGCAAGTGCATGCAGGACAAGCATCGCCACCCTCACAGCTGACCTGATTGTTATAGGATTTAATGATCCTCTTTGGATTAAGTATGTTGCTTTCCAGTCTGACTCCTCTCGTGCAAGACTATATGACTCATTCGACCTAGAGCCGTCGTTGGTGCATTTTTTGTATTGGATACAGCCTATTCTTCTGCGTACGTGAAAAAACATTCTGAAGGATCTGATTTGACATACAGTTTACCTCTAGCGTCATTTATATGGTATGGTACTACACGTATGTATCAATCATGTCCCTTGGATGGCAGAATAGCCTGATCTAACCAGCAATCAGCATCGTTCACTTCGGAGACATGGAAGGACTCCTTTGTAAGAGAGATGTCGATCGGTTTCAAATATACGATCCGAAATATTTCATAGACATCATCTGGGTTTTACCCTTTACCGTCGTCGTTACGGCATTCATATCGTGTTTAACCCAGCTCTTCCTGGGTTACCGGTGAGATATTTTACACCAGAAACATACATAACAGGCGCTGACAGTTTACAGGATGTGGCGCCTCACACGAAATCTGCTTCTGTATCTTTTCGTGGGTTTAATTCAATGGTGGCCTTTACCCTCGCAGTGGTCGCCTTCGCAAAGGTGACCCGCCTCGAGAGGTTCGTACATGCTTGCTTTAGTCCTGCTCAGGTCGCTGAAGTATTACATGGGAGGTAGCAACCTCCAAGTATACACGCTTCAGAAATGGATAATCGCCTGGCTATCTTTACAAGTTGCCGTCGACATGATAATTTCCTGTATGTTATTGCTCTCTATCTGCAGTCTATCTGAGAAGTCACTATTTTCGCAGCCGTTCTAGCTTACACGCTAGTCAAATCGCGTACGGGCTTTGACGCCTCCGATACAGTTATTAATCGTCTCGTGCGGACCACAATCCAAAGTGGTAAGCGTCTCAGCAGGTGTCCAGATGTATTCTTTTTTGTAAGCGTTATTATCTAGGCATCCTTTGCGGATTATTTTCTATACTTGCACTGGTCATGTTCCTGGCGAAGCCTTACACCCAGTTATACGCTGTAGCTGGCTACCCAATCGGTCGACTGTACACCAACGTAAGTGGTCGTATTCTAGTCAACAAATGAGTTTTAACGGATCCACATCCACTCTCTCTTTCTGCCTTTAGGCTGTGATGGACTCCCTGCTTTCCAGGAAATTTGTGAGGGGAATATTGGGGCACGGGAATGAAACAGTGAGATTTGTGCGGAAATCTATGCCTTTTAAATTCTCTAAACCTTTGACTAGCGAGTGTTAGGGAGTGGTTTCAAATTGCAGGTGAGAAAGGACGTAGACACCGAGATCAGGTTCAATGGAACCCTTTCTGGTCGTGAAACCGTGGATACGAAAACTCAAGAAGAACAATACTCCAAAACCACCGCGTGAGGAGGGGTAGAGGACTGCCGCCGAGGGCGATATTTCATGCTATCTCCGGCAGTGTTGCCTATTCTGACTATGTGCAGTACTTTCGAAAGTGTTCTAGGTCAATTTATGATAGTGAACTGGTTTGGTCAAGCAATAGAGGGTAAGGATATCTATAACATCGCCTCACTAGTGCTCTCTATACGGCGCCTTCTCATTTTATCTGAGATTATTATGCCGCGGGAGATAAACACGATTCTAATTATTGACAAGACCGCAAGCCCTCATGCTTACAACTCAACATCCACAATGTGCACCATGAAAACCTGGTTCATCCAATCCCAAGAATCCTCGCCGTCAGATCCTTCTGCTTACAGCTCGATGAACAACTACGCCTCTCCCCTCAGCTCACGAGGCGTCCCGGGTTTTATTTCGGGGAACGCAGCTTAAATAATAAGAACGAAGTCTTTGGAAAGGAGGTAGTACAGTGGTTGCAGCGTACTGAAAGTGTTGAGGCCAGTCTGATAACATTTGTCCGCTTGCTGCCTGATAAAGGAATTGTGGCGTAGCGTCGTCCACGGATAGAACACTTGTTGTCCGAATCGACTACGCCAACAAATGGAAAATATCTCAAAAGCTTGCAATCAGCCATTAATGACACTCACGGGTTCACAGCGAGCATTCATCATCGTGACCTCTGTCGGTCCACTCCTGGACAATCGCGAACAAGTCCTTGATGAGTTGCGCCTCTTCTTCTTCCAAGAGCTCAGATACTGGTTGATCTTTCCGCTCCCACCCTCGCGATTCACGTTTCCGTTCACCAAATATCTTGTATACCCAGAGTAGAAGGCACCTTCCCAACCACAACTGCGCCTTGAAACTTTCTTGAACGACCATCAAGGTTGGTTTACCTGCGACGATCCATTTAGATACGAAGCACTCGCGGTATCCCGGTAAAAACCAGGCGCGTGTGTTGCCGAGGTCTTCCACTAATTTCTTGTCGCTGTATCGGTGCAAAACGAATAGGAGGACCCAGACGAACGCCTCCAGCTCGTGACGATAGGTTCTTCGGAATGCGATGTTCGTGTGTTTCTCGAGTAGAAGTTCAAGCGCCGTCCATTCCTTCCGACATCCGAGTAGGGTGGGAAGAAACTTGGAGTGTCCCCTAGGTCGAAGTCGGTCAGGACAGTGCTGCGTTTGGTGGGGTCGTAAAGAATGCTCCAGAGACGTGGGTCTCCGATGTCGATACCCTGACGGTGGAGCACACTATGGCCTAAGGGCGCATCGAAAAGTCTCCTTTATTCCACATACTGGGGTTATTAGGAAGATTCCACGTACACTTCACAGTGTCTGACCACGCCTCGACGAAATCTTTTCCAGTCAACGCTGTTTTGAACGGGTCCAACTCTTCGACGATGATTGTGCGAGGCAGGCTATTATAATGGCGCTTGCAACAATTTTGCATGATAGAGCAGTGGAAAGAGGGAAATCGAGTGAGGATCCCTCAAGGCCTCAAGGCTTAGGCCCATGCGGAGTCCTCGAGGTTGATCGTAAGAGATGTACCAAATATCGTATGGCCGACGCAAGAGAAATGAATGAGAAAAACTGAACAGGCGTACTTCTCTTGAACCCTGTCAAAGAGCTTTATGGACTCCCTCCAGCCCTTCCATCGCGACATCATTGAATCTAGTGCTACACAATACAGGATCAGAGAAACTGAGAGCTTAAATGCACATATGCATGGCCAGATAGTCTATCGATAAGGGACTGAAATGATATTTACGGAGTAAAGGAAGAGAGGGTATATGCAACAGGCAGCAGATGTCCGTACAACAAACCGAAAAGAAGGAAGTGTAGCTTGGGATTAGCGAAGCAACGTATGGAAGTAAGTGCATTAGAAGGAGAAAGAAAAAGCATCCTTAAATGCATCCTTAAATGAGGGATAAGAGATGAGATATTAAACAAACGGGGTGAGGGAAGAGGAAGAGGAAGCGAGCATGAGGGGAACGAAAGAGAGGAGGAAAGAGGTGTAGGGTTGTTAAACATACCCAAAGATCGCCCCAAGCAAGTCTTTCCAGCCTCTCCTCAACACAATCCTCACCCCATCTGGAGCGTACTCTTGTGCGAGCCACTCCAGATATCGCGCATCGAACCCACTGAGCGGCCCAAGCTCGAACGCGAGGATGTCCTTCGGTGACAGCGAAATGACCTTCTCCGCGCCAGCTCCTGTCGTGGGCACAGAGGAAGGAGACACGCCCGACCGCGCCAAGAAACCCTCAAGCACCGAAAGCTGGAAGGCCGTGTGCGCATGGAAGGTCTGCAGCACCGCGAGTGTTGTGCGCACCTGCCTGGTCCTACGCTCTTGCAATTCTTCTTGCAGTTCCTCATCCTCCTGCTCTGCAATGACATCCTGGTAGGGTGTCGGCGAGGACGGCCCAGCACCAGCAGCAGTGGAACTGGACGCTTGACGCGCCTTCCCCCCGACGGCGGTGCTGCCAGTGCCAACGAGAGTCGCGCGCCCACTCGACCAGGACATACCGCTTGCACGCCGGGTGGCTTTCGTGCTCAAGCCGCCCTCGATCCCCATGCCCACGTTGCGGACATATGCGGTGCTGCCTTTCACTGTGTCCTTCCCCGTGTCCCGCTCTCCGTCCAATGCCTCCATCCCACGTAGTGATAGATCGTCATCGCCTTCTAACCGTATCGCGCCCCAATTCTCTGGTCCATTGGCGGTGGAGTAGGACGCAGACGAGTTGCCGCGCCACGACCCGATGCCCATCCACAGCCCCGCGCAGATGATGCAGACATCTTCGTATACTTGCCAGACATCTGTCCATGCTGTGATCGATTTGGATTTCGCGGTGTCCGATGATGGAGAGGACGAGGAAGAAGGGAAAGACGAAGAGCAGCACGTGTGGCCGTGCGAGGCGTCTAGTGCGAGAATGCGGTCGATTTCGGACCACTGGAAGCAAGCAGGATGAGCGCGCGTCGCAAAAAGTCAGCAGTTATAGACACACAAGCTTCACATCGCTCCATGCAAATCGGATCGTCGATAGTCGATAAGGAGGCGCTCTGGAACTCCCAGCTTGCGATGTGGTTAGTTTCGAGGCATAAAATGTGGGCCGTGTCGCTTTGTTAGGGGTCGAGGTCGTAAGGTCAATAAGCAGGTCATAATACGAAGGTTTTTCCATGAATATCGCGTCCGTTGTACCTAAGTATAGCACGCGTTTAGCCTTAGGTTTCAGGTTCCCAAGAATAGAAACTCACAAGCAATCCAGCCCCGTCCTGTGAGGCTCTCAATTTCAAGCCTATCCAAGTCCGCGAGCGTGATCATCCCAAGTACGTTTATTGGATCCTTGTGCTTACCCTTTAGCCGTGCGCTGGAACTGGAACTCGACCCATCAACCTGCGTCTCGAAGCAGAGATCCCCCGCAACGTAACAGAGTAGGGAGGCGGCTTCGACTGGAGGTAGCGTGTAGATGAGTATCCGCTTCCGACCGAGGACGTGCTTGTACAGCGTGAGTGACGAAGGACCGAGGATCCGCAGGAGGTGCGGAAGGTGCAGTGTCGGGTTGGAGCCAACGGGCTCTGAGTAGGCCCCATCCAGGTCGTCACTCCATCCAGTCCAGTCGCCCGAGCCGCCCAGATCTGCACGCCGCAGCTTCCGCACCTCGAAGAAAGCGTGCGCCGGATCCCAGTCGCCCTCCGCCGGCTCTGAAACGCCCTGCCGCTCCATTCGCGCGTAGATTGTGTCGACGAGGACCTTCAGTGCTTCAACATGTCTCCATGGTCGTGGGCGGTGTGATTTCGCGAGTAGGACGCCCAAGGAGCTGAGCCGGAACCCCCGGTGACCGTGCTCGTCGGTTTTGCGCCGTCGGAAGACGCATACACCGTGCTGATTGTCTTTCGTGAAGTAGCTGCAGGACATATTACTACTCCTGAGCCTGGGTGACAAGATGGGGGACGTACACGACGTCCTGCTCCACGAGGTGAAGCCCACTGGGCAACGCGTTGAACTCGAGTTGGTCGAGGCTCAGATCTATCCAAAATCTGCGCCTTCAACCATCACCTCCTTAAGCATTGGGGCCAATACGCACCATCGCTAGCCTTTAGCGACCAGTCCACGATATTGCCCTTGGTCGGATGGAACGATGCGTGGAAGATAGCGACTGCGGTGTCCTTCAGTTCCTCGTCCTCATGAACGTTGTTCAGCACGCACCAAGGTCCTGCGGGACACTCTCCCTAGTCTCCCCCTCTGAAGCCATAGCTATGAAACCGGTAACTTTTATTCGTCGTCGTCTTCGTCGCTGGTGGTCGTGGGCAGGGGCGAACGAGCGGACGAGCGTAAAACAATTGTGAAGTCTTGGAGCAAGAACTGCGTCGGTTTCGGAGGCGGTGCTGCCGTCACAGAAGTCCCGAAAAGGAAGTGAGTCACATCTCATAGGGTCACGCGCCGACGAATTCTCTGAACAGAACAACCTCCTCCGAGCTCCCTTCGAGTACCTGCCATGTCTCAACCACAGACCGTAAATGTCGCAGATCTCGACATCGCACAGCTTTCAGAAGTCAGAAAGCAGCTAGAAGAGGCGAGTTCGCCGAGACGGTTGCTCATGGGTCGCTCTTACAAACTGATGCAACTTGAACAGGAACTGAACCACCTCACGAACTCCTTTGCTCAGCTCAAGCAAGCACAGGCGAAGTTCAAAAGTTGTATCGAAAATGTGAACGAAGTGAAGCCGCAAAATAAAGGTGCGCCCTCTATGCCAATTTGGTCTATTCTCGCTTCACAGTCGCTCTCCAATCGTTCAACAGACAAGACGATCCTCGTACCGTTGACCAACTCCCTCTACGTTCCTGGCAAACTTTCAGATCCAGAACATGTCATTGTCGACGTCGGAACCGGATACTACGTGAAGAAGGTACGTTTCGCCTCCCTCAAAAGCGTCGATCCTCCCTGATCCAAATTCGAAAGACACGGGAACAAGCCATAAAGCACTATTCCAACAAAGTCGAGTACATCCGATCAAACGTCGAGACTCTAGAAGACACGATTCAAAAGAAGAGAGAGAACATGAACTATCTGATCGGGATACTGCAGCAGAAGATCCAAGCACAGACGCAGGGAGGACCAACGGAATCGAGATCATGATGACGAAGCCATGCACTAGTTGAGGTGGTGTGGTACATTGTGTGGAATATGACAACGAAATTTCGAAGTCATAGTGAAGTTGACCCGTGCGTATGAACCCCTAAGCGAGTTCTGAATTCATTATTCGCGACGTAGTAGGAGAAGCCCTGCAAAACCTTCAAAATACGTGAGTGGTATTGACATCTAGTTTATCCCAGGTTGACACTCATCTAAGTCGTCTCCTTCCACCTAGAATTGAGTATTGTTGCTCGCTGAATCGTCGTCCTGATCATCGACAAGTGGGAGGATGTCTAATATCGATAGGCTCGCAAAATTAGCACTCACTCATATAAAAGCAACCACGAAGACCGCAGTCAACAGCCTCATCACCTCGCTCATCAAAATGATTTTGCGGCGGCAATCCCCTTTGACCTGCCTCTCGTCCCCCAGGAAAGATCCTCAGCGACGGTTACTGTGCTCTTCTTCGCGTCGTGGCGCTTCCTAGGGCTAATGGCATCACGTATCTGAACTCCTGGCTACAGACAGCACTGTCATGAGGCTCCTTTTTCGACCTATTATCTCGAGATATAGAGCCGCGATCATCTTTGAAGCTGACTGTATCTCCATTAGTAAGTCATCAAATTCGAGTACAGTTTTCCCAGTTGTAGGCCCTCTCTCGAGAACCACGGTTCGAACGGGTACCAGTCAGTAACCTCCTCCACCTGCGTGCGTCGTGCTGAACGAGAAAGACAGTATGCAGTATGTTTCTACGCGAGCAATAACGAACACAATTATCGTATTAACGTCCGTAAAACGAATGTGCATGTCCTGGAGTCCATTGGAGTCCTACCAGTCCTATCGGTTCTGTGGCCCGGCTTTTGCCCTTCCTGTTTGTCCGGCTCTAATCACGATCCATCCAGCAGGCCAGCTGCTTCATCATACAAGAGCGGCGTTCGGGATTTCCATATGTGAGTGAGTGACTCTTCTTTGGTACAACGAACTGAGTGATTTACCGCACGATTAGCTTGATGGAGCATCGTTAAAAGACTTCTGTCGGGACACCCTCGATACTTCTGTTGATACCGTAGGGACCTTCGGTGATCCCGCCCGTCGGGAGTAATGCCCCAAAAACGATGGCGTCGAGATTCTCGCCCTCATGGGTACGCTGGGAGCAAGAATGCTGTCCCTATCGACGGATATCATAGAATCCCGGCTTGATGATGCCGCGGTCTCGTAGTTCGAAGGAGCAAAGTGACTCGGTCCACGGCTTTGCGGGGTGAGAGGAAGAGATGGTGTTGATGATCGCCTCGCTGACTGGTTTGACTGCAGCTCGAAATCACTGCCGTCATCTTGATCGGCCATGCCGCTGGGTGTCGAAATATCTTGCAGTACTTCCGGATACGCCTTCTCCTCGTCTGATGTCTGTCGTGAGTTGTTAACACAGTGGTGAGGCATCTTTGGATCCTCCATCATCGTCCAACTTGACCTCCTATGTGCCCGGATGGCAAGCAGAACCCCAAGGACCATGATTAAGCCAGCGGACAGCGTCAACCAATTCGCACTGCCTCCTCGCAATACGAAAGGCGTGCCCCCCAAACATTCTTGCCCATGAATAAAAACGGCGAGATCGACAGCACAGGCAACCATCGTGATGAAAGCCGTGAATCCTACAAATGATATAAGCTTCTTGCTAATACGGTCGGATTCGTCGAGGCGAAGGATATAGAATGCGCCGATGGCGCTCAAGGTGAGGAGGAAGGCGACTGCGTGGATTATGGCTGCGCTGATAACTGTCAGCATGGAGTAGACAGGGCCAGAATCGGAGGTTAGCATAGTTTGAGCATCTGAAGAATTGAATATTCGACAACAACGTCAGTGCTGGGGCTTACTGCTGTTGATATACTGACCATAGAAGGATGCACAGGATTCAGTTGTTGCCGCCCTAAATGTCCAGTAAAACCCAAGGGTTCCGTAGCCGATGCATTCTGGAGGGGAAACCGTGCCATATGACTCAGGAACAGACGGAATCGATATCCTGGAAAAGTAGACGGAAGTGCTGCAAGGGACACCGAAGGTTGGGGGGAATAGAAGGAAGGAAGCGATGGACGCAGAGACGAGAAGGATCGAACGAATTCGCAAAAAGGAGTTGGACGTTGTGCTAGCACCCGTCATCGCTGACCAGGGGTTGCTTAGGGGTTGAGGGGATTGGATCCAGTGTGTGCCAGAGGATCAAAGGAAGAGATGCTCTGACGAAGCACGAACACCGTGGATATATAGCTGGAGTTGTACTCGCACCACCATCAAATAGATCGTCCCCGCGGGCGACGAGATCAGAAATAATCTTACGAGCGTCAATTGATTCCTGTGTCAATCTCCCGCTGGTGGTAAAGGTACCAGCAAGCCCAGAATTTCTCTGCGTCCGTCGAGTAGACCGATGACCGTTTCCTCTACGAGGTGTCACGCACTGAAGGCGGAAAATCGAGGGATTCTCCTGTCGCTCGCGACCTCCTCCCTCATTCTCCAGCTGGTCACGGGTCTATCGGTCGAGATCATGAGCCCCATATCAACCAAGAGAAATGCTATAATAGGATATGACCTTGATTATGTAGCAGGCCGTAAACGTTGCGACGGCGACATTAGTCCGCTTCCCACCGCCCATCTTGACCAGCACGGACGGAACAGGATAACATCAACATTTCCTGATACATCTATCTGCACATCAAGGAGCTGCTTGAATATCATTCATTATTTGAACCTAGTCCGCAAATTCTCCCACTCAATTTAATCCTCTACTTGCATTCATTAGACCTGGTATAAACACTCCAGGATTGTGTCGAATCGTTGCACAATGTTTTTTTTTTCAGGTATTAAGCGCTGGACGGAAAACCAGGCCGACCTCAAGATGCCCAGGGTTGCAGCGAATACACTTAATGTGAAATGCAAAGGCAAATTTGCGTCTTCACCTTCAACGCCTCTCGAAGTGTGTCGTACACATGGTCTGGCCTCGAAGACATGCAACTGCCTGAGAAATACACTTCCGGATCACGGTGCATGGAAGAAAACAGTGTTTCCATGATGAAGGAATCCTGGCCCAAGGCCTTGAGATCTTTCCTTTTTTTGATTAGGTTCATGACAGGTTTCGAAACTGTCTGTATATTCAATTACTTTCACAGTGGAGAATAAAGCTGTTTATCTGCTGGGCCGGTTGTAATTTGCCTTGTTGAAACTGAAAGGATGATGGTGAGTGTGGGGTCGGATCGTGTGAGCGGAATGTCGTGTAGCCTCTCGCCAGGGACAGTAATGCTAAAGTGCTTCGTTGCCTCTGTCGTCGTACTAGAGTGAGCTGGAGAACAAAGGCGCGAGTGGCTACGCGTAAGTAAGATGTGCTTATCTAATCGTAGAACGTGACCGTTCCCTAAGATAAACGCTCGCCAGAAGTCGTCAAATCTGGGTGTCGGAAGTCTCCTACTACGCAGCACTCCCACACAATACACGCGGAGCACCCGGGGAGAGCTGCGCCGCATACCGATTCGCTGAGTAGCGCGGCGCAATTTCTATATTGGGACTAGTGGGTGGACAAACGCCAAGAGTACTAAGCGCGTTGAAGCGCACCGTGCAGGTAAAGCCGAAGATGACTCGCCGCAGGCTCAGTTAACTCATTATGTTACTCCCAAGTTTTGATAAATGCGTTATGCAGCTGCGTCGCAGACCGCTGTCCGACATTGGTTGTTGATTGGCTGCCAGGCGAACTTGTAGCCGTTCTGCGCGCCGATCAAATAGCGGCAAATGACGAACCCCATTCGGCCTGGATCATTTCTTCGAGCTTCGCATTTTGTACTTATACCACCACCTATCTCGGAGGTTCTCATCTTCATTGTCTCCTTCCTTCTGAATCTCCCGTCCTTCGAAGATGTTCTGGTCCCCGAAGTTCGACCCCTCCAAGGACCTGAACGACCTGTCCGGTAAAGTAGTAATTGTCACCGGAGCCAAGTGAGTCTCGCCCACGGCCAATCCTGTACCTCATGCAGGCTGATCGTGACGCGACGTGTCTGCCCACAGCACTGGAATAGGGTACTCCACGGTCAAGCACCTCGCGAGAAAAGGCGCAAAGGTGTACCTCGGCGCGCGTTCTAGCGAGAAGGGGAATGCAGCGGTCGCTAAGCTCAAAGAAGAGGGCATTGGGTCTGGTGAAGTAATTTGGTTGGAGGTGGATCTGAGTTCGCCTGCAGTATCGAAGAAGTCCGCGGAGGGGTTCTTGAAGCTTGGGGAAAGGCTTGATATTTTGGGTACGTTTTCAGTCCCTTGAGAATGATTCATTAATATGAACACCATTTTTCCATTCAGTGAATAATGCAGGGTGGTTCGTCTCTCTCTCTTTCAGCGTCGAAATATGAGTCTTCAAATAATTTCTTCCGATAGTACCTACGACAAGACGGACGAACCAGCCCAGGATGGTAAATGATTTGTCTATTCTCCCGCTGGATAAGTTGCTGATTTCTCCTCGTTTCTAGACATCACTGTTATGATGATGACGAAGTGAGTTACCCTCGCTCTGATGTTTTCAATACGAGTAAAGAAATATCTTTCCAGCCATGTCGGTACCTTCCAATTCACTACAATGCTACTGCCCTGCCTGGAGAAAGCCGCTGCAGAGCCTGGATCTGACGTTCGAATTGTCATCGTAAGGGTTTCTTCGAACCTCCCACTCTGGTATTCCGCTCATAACTATATAGTTGACGTCGGATGGTCATACCAGAGGATGCGCTGCCAATCCCGATATTAGTTTCAATGACTTGACCGAATTCAAGAACCAATACAAGGAAGAGAGAATCCCTTACTTCTCCCGATATTGTATGTTCTTCTTCGTCAATTCAGCATTTTTCATTGAAGAATGTTTGAATTAGTCATATCAAAGTTGGCAAACGTCCTGTTCACAAAATCCCTTCAACGCAGACTGGAGAACACAAGCATCATGTGCATTGCCATCAATCCTGGTCTCGTAAACACCTCTCTCGCTGATAGATTCGCCTTCCCGTGGCTCGCACGCTTCCTCTTGTCTTTCATTGCGGACACTCCGGACAAGGGAGCATATACGTCGTGTTTCGCGGCTGCGTCACCCAAGGTCAGGGTCGAACCTGAGCTCTATAAAGGGGCGTACCTGGAGCCGGTTGGGAAGATTTCTGAGGCCTCAAAGAATGCGCAGAGGAAGGAATTGCAGGATCAGTTATGGGAGACTACGGAGAAATATTTGAGAGGGCTCAATTAGTCAGTATAAACTTGAAATCGGATATTATCTTCGACAACTCTCTTTTGAGTGCACCCCGAGGTAGCGCTGGGTTTATACCACTTCGGAGAGTGGGTGAATTCAAACGCGATGATTGGTCTAGGAGACCCCGGGCCGGGCCTCGATCTCCGTCGCTGACATAATCGCCCCTAACGACTGCTCTCGTGTCCAAATTTTCCACTTGGACTCTCCCTTCTTCTTTTCTGCCCCTCTTTTTCTTTCTACGATGCTGGTGACGCGGGTGTGGGCGCCTGCGTGCTCACAGCGCCCTTTTTTTGTCTCCCACTGGTTGAAGCCATCTTCATGCGCTCGGCGGACAGCTGCCACGGCGGCCGCGCTCAAACCCGCCCCGGAACCCGTTCACGACGATATCCCTGCGCCGTTTATGCACCCTCTCTCGGATAAGGACGTCCAGCGCCTGACATTCCAGCGGAACATTGGTGTCTCCGCGCACATTGACTCTGGGAAGACGACGCTGACGGAACGAATACTGTATTATACCGGGCGTATTCGGGAGATTCATGAGGTTCGCATTGCCATGTTCTCTGCCACCTGTGGGGTGTTTCAAACGTGGTAGAGGGAGAAATGGGCGAAAAGCACCCTCCGGCATGTTGCCTGAGGTTCGTTGGCCCGTTACTCCTGATCTCCATGTCCCCATGGGTGCGCGTTAGTTTGGACGGGCTAACAGTTTCGGCCTGTCCTTTAGGTCCGTGGGCGCGATTCGGTTGGTGCGAAGATGGACAGCATGGACCTGGAGAGGGAAAAGGGTATCACCATCCAGAGTGCTGCGACCTTCTGCGATTGGGAGGCGACGGACCTTGGGAAGGGCAGAAAGCAGAAATATGCCGTCAACATTATCGACACGCCAGGACATGTAGACTTTACAATCGAGGTGGAACGGGCCCTTCGGGTGCTAGATGGTGCTATTCTGGTTCTTTGTGCTGTTGCCGGAGTGCAGGTATGTCGCGTTTTCTGTCGAATATGTGTTTTTAAACCTCCTGTAGAGTCAAACTACAACGGTCGACAGGCAAATGCGGCGGTATAACGTACCTAGGATCTCTTTCGTGAATAAGATGGACAGGCCTGGCGCAAATCCCTGGAGGATTGTCAACCAAATTCGGTCTAAACTTCGGATGACGGCTGCTGCTGTCCAAGTGCCCATTGGTGTCGAGGACGAATTTAAAGGCGTGGTCGATTTGGTCCATTGGAAGGCTATATACAACGAGGGTGTCAAGGGGTGAGCACTTGCATTTTTTTCTCGTCGCTGTCTCATTCTGTCTATAGCAACGAAGTTGTGGTATCCGACGAAATCCCGGAATCGGTCAAGGAACTCGCACAGGCCAAACGGATAGAGCTCATCGAACAACTGGCTGAAGCGGACGAGGAAATTGGCGAGAAAGTGCTGATGGACGAGATGCCCACCAACAACGAAATCGCCGACGCCATCCGCCGCGCGACCATCAGCCTCAAATTCTCCCCTGTTTTCATGGGCTCCGCGATCAAGAACACTGGCGTCCAACCTCTCCTCGACGGTGTCTGCAACTATCTGCCCACACCCGCTGAGAAGGAAGTCTTCGCTCATGACACGACCTTACCTGCATCTGCACCTCAAGTACCTTTATCACCTGCCGCAGATGCGCCTTTCGTCGGCCTGGCGTTCAAGTTGGAGGAAAGCCGTTTCGGACAGCTCACGTATATGCGCGTGTACCAGGGCACCTTGAAGAAGGCCATGCAAATTTTCAATGCCAGGACTGGGAAGAAGGTTAAGGTTCCTCGGTTGGTCCGCATGCACAGTAACGAGATGGAGGACGTCGAGTCGATTGGACCGGGTGAAATTTGCGCGATGTTCGGTGTCGAGTGCTCGTCTGGGGATACTTTCACTGATGGATCGACCTCATTTTCGATGGTACGTTTGGTTCTTTCATTTATGGGCGGCTATAGGAGCTGACTTTGTGTATAGACATCCATGTTCGTCCCTGATCCCGTTATCTCGCTCTCGATTAAACCCAAGGGCCTCGAAACACCCAACTTCTCTCGTGCTCTTAACCGATTCCAGAAGGAGGATCCTACATTTAAGGTCCATGTCGACCACGTCAGTAAGGAGGTACGCATATATTCAGCTTCTGGTAGTCTATCCAAGCTTATCCGGTTGTTGCAGACCATCATCTCTGGTATGGGCGAACTCCACCTCGAGATCTACGTCGAGCGCATGCGCCGCGAGTACAACACCGACTGCATCACTGGCAAGCCCCAGGTTGCCTTCCGCGAGACCATCACCCAGCGCGCAGAGTTCACCTACACACACAAGAAGCAGACCGGTGGTGCCGGGCAGTACGCCAAGGTCATCGGACACATCGAGCCCATGGAGATGGACCCTGAGACGGGCAAGGACGTCGGATTCGAGTCAGTCGTCATGGGTGGCAATATCCCGACCAACTTCATCCCTGCGGTCGAGAAAGGGTTCTACGAGGCGTTGGAGAAGGGGTCGCTCTCTGGAAACCCGATCACTGGTTGCAGGCTGGTGTTGAAGGATGGCGCCTTCCACGCTGTCGACTCGTCCGAGTTGGCGTTCAGGCTCGCTACGATTGGAGCTTTCCGCGAGGTTTATCGCAATGCAAAGCCTGTTATCCTTGAGCCTATCATGAACGTCGAAGTCGTCGCTCCGGGCGAGTTCCAAAGTAAGTCTCCTTGTTTTTAAACCTTTTGCGACGGCTTTGACATATTTTGCCCCACTCTGCAGGTCAAGTCATTGGAGGTTTGAACACTCGTCGAGGCACGATCATCGATAGCGAGGTCCGAGACGACGAATTTACGGCTGTTGCGGACGTTGCTTTGAACGATATGTTCGGCTATTCCAACCAGCTTCGTGGCTCAACACAAGGAAAGGGAGAATTTAGCATGGAGTACAAGGTATGGATTCTCTGTTCTTTCCTTCTTACTTTCATATCAAGCTGATTTTTTTTTCTTTCTCTAGTACCACCAACCTGTGCTTCCTAACGTCCAGAAGGAACTTGAGGAAGAATACCGCAAGACCCTTCCTGCTGCTAAAAAGTAGACTTATACTATAGATTATTGCTTAGATATTATTTGTAGCTCGTATAATGACACGGATATACATTCCACCTTTCAATCTGACGCGACCACTGAGTACTGAGGCCTGAGGGCCAACACGATTCCCTAAAAATTTCACGTTGCTTGCAGGTTCCGATGCAGGTGGAGTGATGATAAGTCACGCAAAACGTGACACGTTACATCCACGTCGACGAACGACGAAAGATGGTCTCCGGCATTTCGCTTTCCATCCAACTTCATCCATCCGTGACGACCAGGAAGACAATATGGTGAGGGTTTTCTGCAGCTCATTAATGCTATTACTGATTGTATCCCTCTACAGGCGGCTGCAGCGGTATCAGACTCGATGCCCATCGAGACGGCTCATGAGGACATGATCGTTCGTATTCCACAAGGCCTCCTACGAATGCGTGTTAACGGCGGTATTTTGGCGTATAGCACGATGCCCAGCTGGACTACTACGGGAAACGGATAGCCACTTGCTCCTCCGACCGGACAGTGAAGGTTTTCGATGTGGTCGACGGCGAGTCGACGACGACGCGGGGACCGGGGCAGACTCTGAAAGGGTGAGCACGCGTCTTCCGTTCTTCTGGCAGAGGAGGGGGATTACTGATGTTGTATTTGGGGGCATTTTGCTGCTGTTTTGGATTGGGTGGGTAGACATACGGGCCCGGTCTGGCAGGTCGCTTGGGCGCATCCCAAGTACGGGCACATCCTGGCGTCGTGTTCATACGACGGGAAGGTCCTCATCTGGAAGGAACAACAGGCTCAAGGGAACACCCCCGGGGGATGGATTAAGATTAAGGAGCACACACTGCATACAGCGTCAGGTATGCGTATATCTTCGGGCGTTGACGTGGATATGTGCTGAAAGGGTGCAGTTAACTCGGTTTCGTGGGCACCCCATGAGCTTGGAGCTATCCTCGCGTGTGCTTCATCAGACGGAAAAGTCTCCGTTTTGACATTCAAAAGTGCGTTTTGTAACCCTTTGTCCTCCGAACTCTCTTCATCTTCCTTCTGCCTGCAGATGACGGCCAGTGGGACGCCGATATCTTCACAGGCCACGCCATCGGATGCAACGCCGTCTCCTGGGCACCCGCCATCCTCCCCGGGTCCCTCATCACGCCTCAACAAGCCGCCACCGCCCCTGGGCAACCGCCGGCGCCCTCACAAACATTCTCCGTCAAGCGGTTCGCCAGCGCAGGGTGCGACAACCTCGTGAAGATCTGGGGGTACCGCGAGGACTCGCAATCGTGGGTCGAGGAGGAAACGCTGGAGGGGCACACCGACTGGGTCCGCGACGTTGCGTGGGCCCCGAATATTGGCCTGCCCCGCAGCTACATCGCCACCGCCTCGCAGGACAAGACGGTCCTGATCTGGACGAAGGACACGCCCACGTCGCCATGGGTAAAAACCGCCCTCGATCCCTCGTCGACAATCGTGTCGCCGACTGGCGCCCCACCCCCCGCTGGCAAATTCCCGGATGTCGTCTGGCGCGTTTCATGGAGCCTTGCGGGCAACCTGTTGGCGGTCAGCTGTGGAGATGGAAAGGTCACCCTCTGGAAGGAGAACTTGAAAGGCGTTTGGGAGTGTGTCAGCGATATGAATAGTTAAATGTTTTAACCCGGTATTTTTTTCTTTCTAGAACGCCAATGACTTTATTTTATTTTCCTTCTCCCGATCTGACCTTCCACCTGTTACCCCGCTTTTGGCCTTTCTCCCAGTCTTTTTTGGCTGTCTTTGAAGGATCGCCCGGGCTAATATGGCACATCAAGTGATAAGATGATTCTGGGAACTACGAGCACCGGTTTCCGAATACCAGAGGTCTGATTCCATTTTTCTGGTGCTTGTAGCGATTCAAAAGTGGTTACTTCAAGCATACAGACAGTCATTACAATGGTATACACTAATTATTCTAATAGAATTCTGTACAAAGTCTTCTCGATGAAGAGTGGATAAGATAAAAATACAATAAACTCCGAAAGATCAGATAAATCAGTGATCCAACCAAACCTTCCTCTCTGCGGACGACGACGACCCCCTCGTTCATTTTCCCCAAGTACCTATTCTTCCTCATTTGCTCGCGCTGTCTATGCCCGTTCCACAGACGAGGATACGTTACGGGTCCATCCGGGATCTTCCAGCTAGGACAGGTCTGCGACTGCTGTACCACATCAGCCATGTTGCTCCATACGCGTGAGTGCCTGCTTTCGTCGCTCCCGCTTCTGACGCCGTTGAAGAGGTTGTCCATTGATAGCTGAGAGGCATGATAGAATGCCATTGGACTGAGGGCGTCGAAGTGATCCTTCCGAAGAGGCGGTCGACTATTGTTTCAGACTTGGGACGTTCTCAAGGACCCCCGAATCTTTTCCAGGACAGGCCTGTCCGACGTGTATGGCTGCCAATAGTGGTGCAGCTAGCTGCTCAGTAGGACGAGAGCATGGACGTGGGCCACCAAGTATCCCCCTGCGCCTCGTTGCGCGGCGGTCGAACAGGCCCTGGCGAGCGATCCCGCCGATTTCCCCTTCCGACTGGCTAGCTCGCTGTGTGCTCGATCTCGCGGGGCCTTGTTCAAACTCTCCCTCGACTAATTTTGCTGAAGTGCCCCCCTGTAATATCGAGGTCTCCGGAGGTTGCTGTACAATCCCGACGCTGGAGTGAATGGCGGGGGCGGAGAGCATCGACCGTGTCGTCCTGATCGTTCGAACGCATGACACGCTACATTTGACCGCCCGTCAGCTCCCATTCCAGAAGATTTCTATCAAGGGGACCTACCTCCGCACAGCGTTAAGCGCGTCGAGGTGCGCCTTGGGAGCAGCCTGCCATTCGACGGGCTGGCTTCTTGGGATCTTTGGATAAAGGGATTGTTTGATGGGCGGACGAAAGTCGTCGCGTCGTCGTAAGGCCCTCTGGGTCACTCGTGAACGTTGAGGGCATTTGCCTGAGTGGCGATGTGGGGCTGGAAATTGTGAGACGGTGGACATTGACTCGAGGGATTATATACGGATGGGGAGATAAAGGATGCCTTCTGGTGTGGTGGCAGAGTACAACCAAGTGACCAGTGCAAAGAGGGGTTTGTGACCCGTGTTAGACCAAAGAGACATCTTTTTTACTTTCTACATTGGCGCAGAAAGAAAGAGAAACAAACGGCTGGTAGGGCTCTCGAATTCGCATCCTTGCAAATTTAGGTGCTCTACGCTTCTATTCACTCATTTTGTTGTTCGGTGACCTGACGATATTTCACTCCGTTGTTTATGAGAAAACCGAGAAAGCAGCCGCAGATGATATTCAGAACCAATAAATAGGGTATGCGAAGACGAAGAGAGACGATGTGAGAGAAAGAAATGCGATGATAAAAATACAAGTCCGAGATGATGAGAAGAAAAAGATAAGATAAAAAGAAATGAGAACAAAGGGATCAGATATGACCCCCTCCACTACGTAGCCTCCCAACTCAACTCTCCCTCCTCTGACTCCAGGCAAACCTACGATGGCACCTCGAAGTCCTTCCACGCCTGCTCGTCGAACCGATAGCGCCACCTATGGCAGTTCAATAATTCCCCGCCCGGCCCCACCTGGGTGATCTCTCGCAAGTCGGCGGCGAGGTCGCAAGGCCCGCCGCGGCCGGACCGCCCGTGAACGACGAATATATGCCTCTCCCAGGCCATCCGCGCCGCATACTCTTCCGTCTGCGTGTAGTCGACGGCTTCGATGGAGCCGTCTTCGTTGATGGTAACGCGCTCGTTTGAGCGCTGCAGACGCCGGGGAACCTGCGGTACGGGGCGGGGAGCGGGAACTGGCGGGCGTTCTTCGGCGGTGCCGAAGGAGTGGATGGGGAAAGGCGTTGAGGCGGCGGGAGGTGGGCTGCTGGGAGGAACGGCGGTGGGTGCCTCCTCGGCGAGGCGATCGGCCTCGCACAGTATGGCTTCTTCGATGAAGCCCACGAGGTCGTCGGGAAGGCCTCGTGTAAGGGCGAAGATAGAAAGATCCTCGGCCTCGGCCTCCATGTCGATGCTGGAGTCGCTGGAGTCGTCGAGGTCCATCTCCTCGTCTGAGGGCGAGTATTCTTCATCGTCGTTTTCATGGTCGGCAGTCTGGAAGTACCGGCCCCAGATGAGCCCCAGCATGGCGTCGTCCTCGCTCTCGTCGATGGTGGGCTCGTACGAATCGAGCCGCGGCCTCTTGGTGGCAGGAGAGGCTTCAGTCGACGATATGGTGGCTATCGAGGCGTTCCTCGAAAGTGAAAGGGAGTTTTCAACCTCGAGGACGTCCTCGAGGCTATCCTCTTCCCGCAGGCGCTTTCTTGAAGGGATGGACGCCCGAGGCGGCATGCTGGTCCTCGTTGGCGTCGCGAGGTTAGTGGGGGCGCGAGATGGCCTGCGTGCGACTCGTTAGCGACGTATACAATGTCTTCGGTGATTTCAGACGTACCTTGCCTCCTTGAAGTATCCGAAGTCCCATGCAGGCTGTCTCTCTGGCAGCCTTCCTATCTCCTTTAATTCTTCGGCATCCTCGACGACCCTCTTCTCCACTCCCTCTCCCAATAGCTCGGCGATCTTCTGGCGATAATGACCAGCGAGATCTTCCGACGTTGAGAGGCAGATGTTGTATGCCTCTGCCAGGAGGTCCTTCGCGAGACTCCGGATCTCCTCTGCCTGCTTCGCCTCGAGAGCGTAGAGACGCTCAATATCATCGTGTATTTGCGGGAGTATTGAAGGCGCTGGAGAAGGCGCCACCGATCTTGCTGCTCGCCATGATGCAGGTTGGAGAGAAGGGTGAGTATCGGCGTCCTCGAATACGTGGCCCTCATCACCGGAGTCTCCTGGCGAGGGAAAGCGGTCGCTCTCGACAACTGGAGCGATATTCTTCTGTTCGTCGCTCTAAAGTGAGTAACCGATTGTCAGCATCAAGGAGCATAAGAGTTCAGAGGGACTTACCTCCGTTGGGGAAAGCAAGCCTGGGATCTTTGTAAATTTGATCTTTTCAATCGGCTGGTGGCTTGTGAACGAGAGCGGAAGCTGTGGGACCTTGAACCCATCGACGTCGACAGCGTTGAAGTTGAGGTTGCTACGAGTGGCACCAATGGCAGAGGCGGCGGCGAAGGAAGAAGTAGGGGAAGCGGCGTTGAACTGCATGTCTGCTAGTATATGTGGTGATGGTACGTGAAAGGTATGAACGCTGGTAGCTGGTTATTGAAAGGGCTTGCTTTAGAGCAAAGGGCACAACGGACGATTGTGGTGGTCGTGGTTGTAGTTGAAGAAAGAAAACGCTAAGCGAGCGCAATTTGACTGTGAGCGGAGTCTCAATTTATTTTCCTTCTTTTATTCTTCTTCTGTGGCCTGTGGCTCCAGGAGCCGGGTACGGGCGGTGGCCCCAGCACAAAACGCGCGAACAATAGACGGCCTGCGTGCCACATATTCCCGGAAAGGAAATTTAGGATAAACGTGTTCGCGGCAAACGCCGAAATCCATGTGCAGTGTTGATGGGCGTGATGGGAGCGTGACTCGGGGATGACTCGGACATGGAATTGCGTGGCTTGGAGGTGGACTTAGATTTGTGAAGAGTGTTGCTGGAGGATAGCCTTTCAGTATTGTCAAAGGCATACAGGTGCACGACTACTACCCATCCTCACAAGCTGAAACATTCAACAGAATAAATTAATCTCAGGTATAGTACAAATAACAGGCGACAAGCACTCTCTGGTCACCTATTGTGTTATTGGGAAAATTTGTATTAGTGAAGTTAGCCGCTCTTATCAGAGAGCTAGAGGGACACCGTCTGCCTCATGCACTACAATAAAAAAAAACTTAGCAAAAACCTTCAAACACGCATTGAAACCAGTACTCACGGATGTCGCGAACAAACTGAAGAGTCTTCCCATCGTTTTGGTCAATAAGAGATTCGACTTCTTCTATGAGAAGCAGCCACGCATCCTTCGCTCCGTGCATCTTTCCATTTCCGCATCTACAACTCGATATCCGATTGCGAAGCCCGCAAGTCCACGACAAAAGTCCTTTCGCAAACTCCCATATCTCCTTGAAATCATCTCCAACATCGACGGCCGAGGACATGTCGTGGCACTTGAAGTCGCTCTTCGTCAGTGAGCGGCTGTTATAGTCGGAGACCATCCAGTCCTCCTTGTCCAGCTCCGTTGACGAGATCTTGTTGTCAGAGTAGAACAGTAAGTAAAATGCCAGGACCCAGATAAACGCCTCGATTTCCTGGTAGTAGTATCTCGGAACCTTTCCTTCTCGACACGGCCTGAGCATCGTGCGGATGGCCATGAACGTCGTCGCGCCGACGCGCTCGATGCGCGTTTTGGTCCAAGGGGTGAGCTCGGCTCTCGCCACGCTAGAGCTGAAATGGTCGAAGTCGGCGAAGATACCAGATCGGTTCTGAGGGCTGTAGAAGATATTGCCGAAGGTAGGATCACCGGGCTGGAAGCCCCCAGTATGTGCAACACGATGAGCTGAGTAGTATATATTAGAAATGATAATCAGAACGCTGGGAAGGAAGAGTGACTTACATTTGACGATCTGCGCCCATGCCTTCATGAAATCGTTCCCAGTCCCTGCTTTTTGCAAGGGTTGCAAGGTTTCAAGAACAAGTTGGTGTCGACTCGGGGCTTGTTGACTGTTCGGAGTGTCTCCAAAGGTCCTTTCGGTCATTGCTGGACAAGGGGCACTCAAGTCGAAGGACAGGAAGAATCGAAGGAGAAATTTATAAAGAAACTCGTTACTGTGGCATGGTGGCACGGTGGCCTTTCAGGTTTGGCGAAAGTCAACGAGCGCTTGTACGTGACCGCCAGGTTGGCAAGCAGCATCGGAGTAACGTCAACCCCCCTCGACCTGATTTTCAGTGCTTTGTGCCAGGAATCTCCGAGAGGGCAGAACTCTGTCGGATTGTAAACCTCTATCTATCTATCTAAGAGTGTCCAGTTAAAGACGGCCCCTGTATTTCTGCAACAAACGCAAGAGAGGGCCCAAAAGAAGTCAGGCTCCGAAATGCACGAAGGAGGCCCCACAATAGAAGGTCAATACCACGATTCCGAGCCTGCATGACATAATGAAACGCTTCAGCTGACTCCACTTCAGGGCCCTCAGCTAAGCGCGAATAAAAAAGCTGGTCGCAATGTCGACGGTTGAACGGTCCTCAATGCTCCATAATGTGGCTGCGACGTAGGGAACATCAGCTGCCTAGAATGCAGCGGAAATGTGTACAGATTCTTCTTCGAGCCTGGGGGCCTTGGTTGCGCCGCTTTCGCAGGCGGAGAGGTAGACGAACTGCAGGCGCGTATACGGATGTCGGGATAGGATGCGGATAGCCCAACTGAATGCCCAATAACTGCTGGAACTTCCATTTTCGGGTTCCTAGTATTGGAGACGTGAGAGCTCTTCGGGTGATAGAGATGGCATTGGTAAGGTCTTCGAGATTCCCACTGTAGTCGAATCGGCGTGTTAACACGACAGTGTCAGATTGGAGCCTGGAAAGGAGTTCCGGGTCGAATTCATGCATCGAGCTGATAACGGATTTTGAAAGCCCGTGCGCCTCTGTCAGAATTCCTGGGACTGCAACGACATGCCCTGCTGCTCGAGTGTATCGATCAGACCCGATGTGACAATTCGATTCCCCGGAACTTCCTGCAATGCGGCGCGGAGAAGGGAGACGGAATTCTTCACGTCGCATTGGAGGCCGGTCTTCCTAAACTTGTTCCCTAGATTGCATCCTAACTCGTAGAGCAACATCTACCGTTTTCCAGACGCCTTGATGGCCTCCTCGACCTTTCTTCTGAACCCAAATGACAGGGCAATTCCATCAATCGGGTAGAGATCGAGATAGGTCTCGACAAGGTGCCGATAGAGGATCTGCACAACGCCTCGATATTCGGGGGTAACGCATGCTATGGCCTTCAGGTGAGCGTCGAGCCTCTCCTCCAGCAAGGAGCGCCTGTTGTCCTGCACCTGCACGAACAACGCCTTATCCCCAGGTTCGCCGGAATGAGGGATTGCTGTCGCGCTCCCAACGGCGAGTTGGGCGGCATCGAAGTCGACCGGCTTGTGATGACGAAAATATCGGTCGCGGAGGGAACAACCCAAATCGTCGAAGTGAAGGGGTCGATTGGGCGTATCGACTGGTTTCAAATTCGACGGTCTTCTGAAAGTAGTGAATGGCTTGGTCTAAGTAGTCATCTCCTTCTTTCTTTAATTACCAACGGCCCGTGCAAACATGCTGATGACGATTCCTCGGTTAGGGTCGTCTGTCTGAACGTATTTGACCGCGATGGAGCCGAGAACTATTGAGTTCTCCAAGGCGTCCGATGAATTTAGCTGAAGGGATTGGAGGTACGACTCGCTACTGCGACTACATATCTCAGCTTGGTGTATGCTTGGTTCCGAGGCTGATACTTTGGCAACGACGTCGAGGATGGCCAGGTCGAGGGTCTCTAGGAATGTAAGATTCTCACAGAATTCACCAGGGCGGAGTATCCGAAGTTGGGCGAGATGTGCAGCGAGACGGATCTTGGTTTGTTCAATGACATGGGAGGGCAGCTAATTGGACAGCTCTGCCATGGCGGCCTGGGAACGGACGATTCGAATACTCAGTAGTGAGGCCAAGAACGATTGAGCACTATTCTTGCTCACTTGCATCTAATTACCTGACCTTCGACCGAAGTGAAAGTCGACCACACGTCCGCTGCGATTGGAGCCAATGAATCAGTAGACGTGGCTATCAATAAGTAGCCTTAGCTCAATCACACTATGCGTCTTAGACCGCAGTAGCGATATGGAGCACAGAGAATGTGGTGAACGGGGAGAAACGGCGTCCGAGGCACGAATGGTTACTGTTCCCAGCCACCGGGTATTCATCGCCGTGTGCTCTGGATGTGGCTCATTCACCCTGTGTGATAAGTTACATGTAACTGTCAATGAGGTTGCTTCCCATAAATAAGTGATTGGTTGGCGGAGACCTACTTGGCTGCTGGCAAGCCTCATCTCCCATTATGTCCGCTCGATGGAAACTCGACCAGCAATATGCAGACATTATGCAACACCACCCCTTCGGGATTGCGCTCTACCGGCCTTTGCCACTGTCGACCTTCAACATTGGCTCCTGCGGATATTTCGATGAATTTGGATCTTGGAACCCGATCGCGCATCTGAAAAACAACGATTCCTTGCAGGAAAAGGGACTGGCAGTTCCGGACGATGAATTAGAGAGGGCGCCAATAGAAAATGGCATTGAGTGGGGTCCAAAGACGTCGAAGTGTACGAAAGAGGCGAAAGTCGAGCTCTCTGGTGGGGTGTGCGTGCATAGTAGCTTACTGGGCGTGATGGATGCTGATGGACAGCCAACAGCGACCCAGCCACTGGCATTCCTCTCACGGTTTCCTCCCTCTACTCGTACTCGACCGACACCGATGTTGGAGCGGTACTCCTGGCAAGCAATCCAATCACACACGAACGATTCTACCATAAATCACCTTTCAAGAACTGGGTCAAAAAGAATGCTCTCACCATCTTGCAACAGTGGCCAGAGGTGAAAGATCATGGTGTCTGGATCGTTACCTCAACCTTCGCTGCAGAGCAATGTGAGGTCAATATGTGGCATGAAAAAGGGAAAAATCTTCAGGTCGGATTTTCTGTGGAGGCTATGGGCTTCGGTAAAATCGGAAACGATTACAAATGGCACACCAGCCAGAGAGACGAAGGTTGGGCAAAGTATTCGAGTAAGGTGCGCTTCTCTCATTCTGCGAAAGGGCCGAAAATTTGCTGAGGAACCAAAGGACGGCGATAAACTAGTGGCTTTCTTTGGAGGTCTCAAGTTTCAATATACCTGGGCTTTTGGCAAGGTGCGTGAACTATGCGTTCGATGGTGCGCGGTCCTGACGTGAACGTTAGGATCTCAAGGCAGCCTCAAGACCAGTCTTACGAGGTCCTCATGGCGAGGAGAAGAAAAATGAAGCAGAAATAATAATCGCCATACCTGATCCTGAATACGACGAGGGCTCCTACTTCGTGGATTGCGAGGAGTATCTCGGAGACGAAGACGAACCGAAGAGAGAGGATGGCGGACAATGGTAACTCCCAATTTCGTTGTGGTTTCAACTCCACCGGCTGCTGCTGGTACGAATTGAACAAACTCGGAGCGCCATCGCAAGGATGGAGATACACTGCCGTAACTCATTTTGAAGATGTCCTTATATCGCGGACTGTGGTGGATAACGGGAGGGTAACAGACGGCTTCGAGGGTATTTGACGGCACTAGACAGCTTTCGCATTTCCATCGATCACTCCGTTCAACCACGAACAATCGCAATAAACAATTCTTGGACATACACAATACAGCAATAATTCAGTAGTCGTCGTCATCATCAGACAGCAGAGAGTCTTGTCTTTGAAACTCTCGAAAGACTTGTTGGTATCGCAGAGACCACCAGCCGCGTTCTTCGCGTTCTTCGCCCTGTGCTCGATTGCGTTCGAAATCCAAGCCTTCAGCATCAGGAAACTGGCCGGAGGGACTCCTCGGGATGGGCAGACCTGATCCTACCAGCGAGCGGAGAACAGACTGCGTATCCAGTGCGAGATCAGAGCCAGGAATAGCGCTGTCTTTGGAGCTGGGCCCGACAAAAGTAAGCTTCCGGAGGGTAGTCTTGCAGCATTGACGCAAAGAAAGCAGCCAAGGTTGAAAGACTTCATTGTCGGCGAGATTAGCTTCATCTTTGACTGATCTTGGGCCAGGAGGAGGGAGCAAGAGGTCGACGACTCGAACAGAGGAAGTCCTGAAATCGGAAGGTTCGTTGAGGTAGACCGGATCTAGTTGAAGGGCTTCAAGTGACAACATCATTCCTTCTACATGGATATCAGTCAATGAAAATAAGTCGAAACGAAATGGACATACCTTGCTGACTCCTTCTTCGGATCCGCGCGATCGATAAGGGCCTGAAAACACTCAGGTCTTCGCATAGCAGCCAAGAAGGATCAGAGTTTGGAGTGTGCATCGATTGAGCCAAAAGAACGAGATCATTGAAGATAAAAGCATGAGCATCGACCGTCCTGAGAGCCGGGTCAGGCGAAGACCGAGTACTGTCATCATCACGGCCTGTTTCCTGTTGCGTAGGTGATTTCGTCCTCGACCGTTTCCTGAGAGGTAACCTCGAGAACCAAGAGGACCTAGATTTCGTAGATGGTGCCAAGTTTGAGCCTACCTTCTCCGCTGCCGCCTTGGAGCTTTCGAAAGACTTCGAAGACATTGGCTTCAACATGCCAAACCTCTCAAATTCGGCCATCGTGTTTGACCTGCCAACCGCGTCCAGAAGCTTTGACGACCTACTTTGCCTTTTCGCGTCAGAGCTCCTTGGATGACCGTTGATGTCCACATGGGGACCGATATTTGGAGACAGATTCGAGATAACCAGACAGAGAGGACCAGAGTGCAGCAATCTCCTTTCCCTAGTTGCGATGCCACTCGAGGCAGGGAGTCCCTGTATGCGCGCTGAAAAGGCTTTCAGTAGCATATACTCATCTTCTCTGAGCTTAACCTCGGTCATGACTTTGATGACCATGTCAGTGGACCGCGACAACGAGAAGGTCGATAAATAGTCTTGATGATTCTTCGGTGTCAGATCCAGCATTCGCTGTAACACACGTCAGACGTTGAACAGCAAAAGAATAAGAAGCATACTGCAAAAAGGTCCTGATACGCCGCCAGCCGATTCACGGGCAGCATCAACAGCCTCTCAAAACTCCAACCTATGCACTCCTCCTCCCTTTCCTGCATCAACACAAACTGGCCAAAATCGCTCCTCTCATCCTGCGTCAAGCCCACAATCTCCTGCGACACGTCCGCCAGTCGAACAAGGTATGGCTGGTACACCTCCACCTTTATCACAAAGCATCTCAGGGATTCGGACACACGGTCCGTTGCAGGTGACATCGTGTCGCGGGCAGAACACAGCGAGGCGTAGATCTGCTCGTGGAGGTTAACAATATCGTCGAACCAGTCCAGCAGGCGGGCGATGTTGGGTGGGACTCCAGCGACCCAGGCCTGGCTATTAGCGACGCGGAGTGGGAGGACGAACATCCTCATGCATATGTGTAAGAGCCGGAGGAGCTCTTCTTCGGACTCAAAGATCTCTTGGATGACGCCTTCTCGTGTTCGCGCGGGTTCTTGTGGCACATGGGTTTGCTGATGGGATGGGCCGATATCTGGGTGTTCCCAGTGTGGATGTGAGGGTTGGGGGGTGTATGATTCGCGCAGGTCGTAAGCAGGTTCGTGCAGGTCTTCATCAGTCGATGAAGCACTTGAGGGAGAAATAACACTGAGACGAGGGGGAGAAACGCGCCGCTGATCGAGCAACCGTCAGGCATGCATAAGAAGGACGAGAAAGTTACAAGCAACGGACCTGATGCATCTTCCTCTTTGCCTCCTTCCTCGAAGTCTCATCAAGCGTCTTCAAGATACTCTCCGCACTCAAACTCAACTCCTCGCAATTGTCCTGCCAGACCGATTCGTTGAGAGAAGACATATCGCTCTCCGCATGTGTCAGGTGCTGTTCATGCTCCTGCTTTATCGCCTCGTCTGACTCTGAAGGAGGGATGCCAAATGCCAACCGTTCTCGAGCTGCAGCAGAGCGATACTGATCGATAATGGCAGTTGCTTCTGTCTTCTCGCGAGAAAACCTGCGGCGGGAATCGTCCAGCCGCAGACCAGCTGAACTGGTGTGAGGTGCAGCTGACCTTCCATACGGTTTCTCCTGAGCCTTGAATTCTGCTGACTTCCGCTTCGAAGAGGTGGACGCAGACAAGTCTGGTTCCGTACGAGAGGGAGGAAGTTTCGAGAATGAGTTACGACTCTTGATGAGCTCCTTGAGGTTCGGTGGAAAAACTTGTGACGAGCGACGCTTCTCCGGAGCATATCGTTGGCAGGCTGACTGAGGACGTTGCGGTGGGTCGTGATGATCAGGCGAGCCACGGAATGCTGGCGTGCAACTCGAACTCCTCCGTTTCTCTTTGCCTTTATCCCTCGGACGTCTAACGGAGTATCCCTCTCGCTCTGACTCCGTTTCTTCCTCTTTCTCTTCCTCTGAGTACGTGTATTGCGTAGATGTTGGCGATCTTGAGAGAGACCTTCTGCGATTGGATATATTTTTTCGCGGCTCATAATCTTGTAGTTGGGGTGTCGAATCCATGATAGAGTCGAAGGAGTCCTCGTGTTGGCGAAGAGGTCGTGAACTCGAAAAATGACCAGCTTCAAAGCGGCCACGCGGCGGAGGTGGGGTTGGTCCTGGATCGTCGGAATATGTGGAATCTGCAGACTCTGACGGCGGTAACGAGAAACGAAGACTCTTTTCTGGGGGTGCTGCTGGTCGTGCTGGCGTTGGCTGCATTTTGACTTTTGACGACTCTCTAGATCTGTGCTCTTCCCCTCGTTGTCGTGATGGGTTCGGAGACGACGGAAAAGAAAGACCAAGGCCAACAGAGGCGTCCACTCGTCCACTGCCCCACCTATTCCTTCCATCATCTGGCCGGACACGTTGCCTTGACTCCGCGTCGCTTTCCGAACTCGACCCAGAAACAAAGATTTCGGCGTTTGTGACTGTTAGCTGGCGTCGGTCTCTCGACTCAATTTCAAAGCGCTGTTCAAAGTCAGAGTCTTCGAGATTCGTGTTGGAGTGATGCCTTCCGCGAGGACGAGGAATTGAAGACTGAAAATCTCTCTTCAGACCGGGAGTTGAAGGCCCCGAATCATTCCCTCTGCGTGAAAAAGGTGATGAAGAATTTTCGCTCTTCTTGCTCTTATCCGGATCCTGCACACATTCGAGGGTCAGAACAGATTAGCAAACTGACCGAGACGAACCTTGCTCCCATTGAAAGGAGATTTCAACGTTTCTGAACACTTTCGGGAGAGTAAACTCTTCATCGACCTCAAGGAGGATCCCGCCATTGACGGCGAGCTGGTTTCTGGCATAGGAGTCATCGGTGACGTTGGTTGGGGTATTGGAGAACGTAGGGAGGACTTCAGAGCAGATTTAGCTGGAATCTTGGGCCGTTGTTGACTGGACACAAGAGTAGGGGTAGATTGGTTGGATTTGGAATAGATATCGGATAGATTAGGGGTCCTTGCTTCTTCAGAGTGATGCCGATACAAGCAGAAGACGGGTTCACGGGGAGTATTCTGCCTGAGGTCCTGTGTTTGCTGTGCTTCAGGCGAATTTCTGCGACTGTGGCTACGCGTATCCCGCTTCCACATCCCCGAATCCTCCCTTCCTGCTTGATACGTCGACATGCGCGAGGGCGTACGCGTCATTCGGTCGACTGTATCTCGTAAAGTGGGTAGGAGATGAGCCTCTAAGTGAGGATATGCCATCCTGCTTTCCCGGTGAATAAGACCGGGTGTTCCGTGGGGGTGGTCTCGTGTGATAAGAGTCGATGAATCCGAGTCTGACTGTGTTACTTGCTCGTAAGTGAGAGGTGCTTCTATCGTAATCGGTCGTCCACTGCGTCCTTCCTTGTGGGTTCGAGACACAGATTTCCCCTTCGCGGTTGTCTCATCATTTCTACGAGAAATACGAGAGTCGCATGAGGCATAAGCGGCGGCGGCGTAGAAAGACGGTGGTTGAAAAGAGCGTAGAGTCGACGGACTTTGTGTTGGCGGTGCTGGAGAACGAGAAGGTCGAGAGGAGATGTTCGAGCGAGAGGTAGACATTGTCGATCAATATGTGGAGAACATGAATGCACAGCGAGAAAGTAAGGCAAGAGCTTCGGGTTGAGACTTCAATTTGAGTTGTTTGAAGTCTCGAAGAAAGCGGAGGCTTCTATATATGGCTGATGCAGCGATCCGAACAGAGCACGCGGGCAATCAGCAGTCGCGGACCGTCTCCTACCGTCCCGAGTGGAGGTCTGCGGCAGTCTCTCAGTTGCAAATTTGAGTTAGACATGAGAATTGTCTTTGGTACTATTCAAGACTATTCGGACATTCAGGTTTCGTCCTCATTCGTAGATAAACATTTGATTCACGATCCGAATTCACCCCGGACCACTGGGTAATACAATTACAGCGCTCAAGCTCAAGAACGACTCATCCTGCAGGAATGCCGCCCACTTCCATCGATCAATGCAGTCTTGGTTGGCGGGTCTTACTTCGAATCCACTGCAAAGGGCGTTAGTGTGTTGAAATGGGTGGACTTTTTAGGGCTGCTCACAGATGTTAATGACGTCCTGCAGTTCTGGGTATTGGTTGACGAGTGGCTTAATCCTTTCTAGAAACGCATTCCAGACCTCCTTGTCCTCGTTGACTCGAGCATCCTCAGACAGGACATCTTTCGGCTGTGCTTCGTCCTCAAGTTCGGAGTCTTCTAAGCGCTGGTTGTTGCTGTGAACAATCCATGCTGTGAGCCGCAACCCGAATGATTTCTGTCGCTTAAAGCTGTCTTGAACGGGGAAACGGGTAGACAGTATAGAAAACTTTTTCTCTAAGCAAGTCTTGTAGCTGGATGTCATCCAACTCTCCGTATTTGCTTTATCCTCCCCAATACCCTTGTTGTTGAAACGCAAGAGAACAAAGGCAAGGACCCAGATCAGGGCCTCAAGCTCGTGACGATAGCGGCGAAGGACTTTTCCCTCCCAATACTGAGCAGTTAAAAGTTCAAGAGCCATGAAGGGAACGGTTCCCGTTCTCTCGAAGCCCGAAGGGGAGGACAAACCCGGTGGAAGTGCAAGGTCAAAATCGGTAAGGACGCCACATTTCTGAACCCTGTTGTACATCATGTTCCACAGACTTGGGTCACTGTGTTCGAAACCTTTCTCATGCAAGAAACGGTGACCTATGAGACATTTGTTGAGTATAGAGTGCATGTCAGGTTATGGCACAGGAGACCTACATTTGACAACCTCTGCCCAGGCTTTAACAAAGTCAATGCCTGTTACCTCCTCTTGTATTGGCCGCAATTCTTCAAATATGAGTAAGCGGGTGATGCGAGAAGCTCGAACTACAGCATTATAAGCAATGGCGCCTGACTCTGATTCGGACCCAGTGAATTGCACGACACTCCAAACGGGTCTAGTAGACGTTCCCTTGAGATCTCCACAGAAAAGCATGACTGGAAGATTTTGCTTGTAACGACTCTCGTCTTGATGCCCCTTTGTGCCCTCTGATTGCGAAGCAGGAAGCTTAAGAACGTCGTAGATCTTCTTCAAAGTTTCACCTTCGTTCGGCCTTACGAGCTCAGGGTTATACAACTTGCACACGTATTTCGTGTCCGGCGGGGCCTGTGTTACTGTAAACGCAATGCTGTTAAGCGAAAAAACACTCGTCGCTCTTCCGGCGATACAATGAGGCTTTCGGATAAGCCGCCCATCGCCACCAATGTTGATTTCGAACTCTTCCACCTGATCAGTGGTGACATCTTCCGCTTTCCCGTTGGCAACAATGCGTTCGAATGCATTCGGCGTCAGCTTGACACTCTCAACTGGAGCGGACCTCCATTCTCTAGCGTCAATCGCTTCCTTCCCGCGTGTTGTTTGACTGTGCTTCCTTGAAGACTCAACGGCCTCGGGTTTTCTTGGTTCATGGCACCTTCCAAGGGTCTCTAAGCCAAGCTTCGGAATGGCTCCCCAGTCTTCGAGCGTGAAGCGTTGAAATGCGAACAGAAGGACAACAAAGCGAGGTAGATCTTGAAGGATATCGATGGACTCTGACCGTAGAATACCCTGTCGGTCATAGTACCACACCCAGAGCAAGTTGTCTAAAAAGAAGGGACGAGTTCCTTGAATGTACTTAACGGGGGGTTATACGAATACTCACCAATAATAAGCAAAATGATGGCATGTTTCCTTCCAACATGCTCAGAGAGAAGTTCAAGGGCATAAGTGGCGCATTGCTCTGGAGGTGTATATGGCTTGTGTTCTTCGCCCGCTGCTGCTGCTTTGACTCGCAGCTTTCGGACAGGCGCTTGATCACCGCCCTTGCCTGCTGGGCCCGTGTTATTGTCCGATTCATCGCTGGAATAGTCATCTTCATAGGGTTCTGTGAGTTCCATTGCAGAATCCTCCATGCTACGAGTCGTATCTTTATGATAGACAGGATTGCGAAGGAATTGTAGAGGGCGAGACGTCCTCTTGAATTCAATACAGCCAAAAAGCTGAGACCAACGGAGATTGACGGTCTTCTTGGCAGAGGTAAACTGATCGACCCCGATCCTGGGGGTTTTCGTCCTGTCACCTGTGTACGATACTTGATTGTAATCCCATGCAACAACATCGGATATGAAAGCACTATCAGGCTTGCGAACAACCCGTGTTGCATGGTTATAGGACGACGTGAAGTTGGTGGGATCGGTAACTTGAACATTGAGCCCATGTTCGAAAACTCCTCTGAAGCCTCTAATCTTCACTTCTGACGCATAATTCAATATCTTGTTTGAGAGAACAGAGAAAGGTTTACAAAGATCGATTTCGGTCTTCGCCTTGCAGCTATCAGGAGGTTAGTGCTCGATAACCAGGGTAAGTAGTCAGGTTATGGACATACTATTCCTGAAGCTCAGTCTGGATGTCCTTCTCATTGCAGATGGGCATCAATTTATCCCAACAGGTAGAGAAAATCTTGTTCAGAGATTCGTTGATACCCCTTTTCAATAGTTTGAGAGTATTCAAGTCACCGGCCGACGGCTGGCTCAGAGGGAGAGCGTTAATTTGGTCTAACAAACTGTCGACAAGACGTTTCTCGGGGTTTCCATCCTCCAGACATAAGTAGAGAAAATAGTGAAGGATAGAGTCGAAGGTTGCTTCGTGAGCCTGAGCGCGATTGACGTCCGCCTTGATGTCCCGATGGATGTCGAATTTCCTGAAAGATTATACATTGGGTGAGCAGGCTTGCACCAAACGCAACAGACATGGCAATACCTCCCGCCAGCGCCTCCACTTGACGTATAGCCAGACATTCCTTCGTCGTTACTTGGAGTGGCCGCGCGCTCTTCTTGTAGCTTCGTCGCCCGCGTCTGCAGCTTTGAAGTAGGGTAGGGTGATTGAGTATCCATGATTTAGCTGATGAAGAGAGCCCTCTTACCAGGTGCTTTAAATACTGGAAATGAAAAACAAGAGAGATGAATCGGGACAATCACGACCCATACGTAGCAGGAGAGGGGAAGTGTGTGTGCTGACGCGAGTTTGGTTTGGCTATGGGTCGTGGGCGCAATCAAAGGGGGATCAGCGAACATCTCTATTTGGAATCCGAATCAACAATCTCGAATGTTCCTATTACTTATTTAAGGGGACCTTCAAACGTTCTATATCGTCTCTCAGAAGTGGAAGGGAGCCTTTGACTTGGGGAGGCCTTGGTTCTCCCACTTCCCCGCCGACGGACCACTTCAATAATTGCCGGGAGAAATCGAAGAGACCATCTTGCATCACGACTCACGTTGTATGATATTCAAGGAACTAAGCGTGGGGCCCACAATTCAATACGGCATCCCGAACAGCGCCTAACATGAGTTATTATTAGGTCGGAATCGGGATCACCAATGACAGTTTTGTGGACCTATTGAACTCAATCCCAGCGTGAAAACAAAAGACTTCCATTCTCTATAGTGGGCCCAGAGAAAGCCGTCCAGCCCACATCAGCAATAAAATTTCCAGAGATTCATTTAGCAAGAGCTGCAAGAGAACAATCGTCAAAAACGCTTGAGGAGCCTTGAGAAATTCTTCCTTTTCGTTGTGTTCTGGTTCAATCTGACAGGTGTTCATTCTTGGAACAACAGTGTAGCAACCCATCGGTACAGAAAAGAAAGCCGTTGTGAAACTGCGATCTCGGGTCGTTGACAATTCGGCGAGCCTCAATCAACACTCGGACATGCTATTAGAAATTCCACTATTGGCGTCCGGTGAGAGACATTCAGCACCATACAACGTATTGTTTTATCTTGTCCCCGAAAAACATCTGGCATTGACACACCTCTGATCGAGGGCGTTACCATTAGGCATCATTTTTATGCCTTCAGTCTCTAGTCAAATAGCACACTGCAGGCTTCTCGTGCGTTTTCGTGATCCATAGAATGGAGTGCTAGACAAGCCTCAACAAAATATGGGGATCCATATTCTCATATTAAAGCTTCACGCTTCAAGCCTCCTCAATCACGACTTCTTGACTCATCCGTACACATATCTGGGTGCACACACCATATCCAATCAAGGAACAGGAATTCTGAAATGTAATGGCAAGGTTACAATAGATGTCGAAGGGACGAGCCTTACCAATCGGACCGATTTCGCTGCAATCCGGGGCCTAGTTGGTTCCGGGAAGGACAGCAACCCCTTGTAATTCATGCTCAGATTTGGTGGAGCAGTAAATGACTTCTCATATGGCACCAAGAGGATCAAGAAAGGTTTAGAAACGAAGTATCTGACTCGGGGTTGCAGGTCCTTGTGGAATTGAAAATCTGGCGTTCAAATCGCCATACTGTCAGAAGACGGCACCTGGGAAAGCGTAAAATCGGAGGGAAGCTCGCTGCTGGGAGCCCTGCATGAGTGCCGTGCTTCAGGCGATCTCCTGTATCGGTGGATACGCAGCGTGTCCGCTACCATATCTCCGAATATTCTCTCCCAACCTGAAGGCTGATATGTAGATGTTCGCGAGTGCGGGCGCGTCATTCGGTCGACGATATCGCGTAAGGTGGCTTTCCGTAGGTACGTAGGTAGGAGCTATGTCTATCAGGATATGATGTCCGTGTTGCTCATAGAGGGGGGCATTTTTCGTACATTTCTCTTCCACCTGGACCGCGTCCTCCCTTGAGGTACGGATCTGCCCTCGGGGGTCATGATTGTCTCATCATTTCTGCGTGACGAATTCAAGGACCTCGCGAGTCGCAGGCGGCGGCGGCATACGAAGTTGACGTGCTTGGCGTTGTAGAGGTGCAGAGAGAGCGACCCACGAAGAATAAAACTTGAAGGACTTACGAAGCCATATTCCAAATATGGTTTGGCCTGGTGTGTATCTCAGATCGCAATGCCGAGGAATGCCTCATTATTGCAATTGACGAATCATCCAACGTTGGTGGAAATATCGAAGGGAATATGTATTTTGATATTCACAATTTACAAGGACGTTTCGCTCCTCCAACATTTACCAGTGCTTTCTTTACCCCTTGGTGCCGTCGGTCTTGGTAGCTTGACCGTCCTGGTCATAAAACCCTTTGAAATCCCAGAATGCACCATCTCTTTCGAACGCAGCTCCCCTCCCCTCCCTCCCCTCCGCCTCCCTCTCCTTTTGGTCACCTTTCTCCAAATCCCAGCCCATGCGACCGAGGATCAAGATAGCAGCACGGAAGAAAAATCCACCATCGAGATACTGGGATCCAGGTAGCTCGGTAGATGATATGATACTTTGCAAGTCGACCTCCGTGCCTGCGGTGTCTCCTCCTTTGAGAGCCTCCCTCGCCTTCCTGGTCCCAAACACCGCCGCCCATCCAGCCAGTGCCCGAATTGTCTTCGTCAGATGCTCGTCCTGGTGTACGCGGGCCTCATCCAGGATCCTCGACCATATTTTGCTTTCTTCATCCACCCCGGTCACTGACGCCGACTCTGATTTGCTTTTCAACGATGCTGGAAGTCCGGGAATGGCGACGACGTCCTGCGTAGCAGCAACGAAGCCTTTGACGTCGAGACGGGGGCGGCCACGCGCGACAGCCCAGATAAGAGCTGACATGAGGTAAGATTTAAGCAGGCACGCCTGGGATGTAGGCGAGAGAATGGCACAGAGCGAAGGGAGGAAGATCGACGAGGTTACAAGGTGCATGCTACACCGAATAAGATCTTAGCCGACCCAATCCCGGGCGAGTGTAACAGGAAACTCACAAAAAGAAATCGGCGTTGAATCTCGCATCCTCTCCGTCCTTTCCTCCGAGTTTCATATCCGTCCATCCAGCGACTCCATAAAGTACACAAATAGCCCATGCAAGCTCTTCGATTTTCCTATCCAACTCGCCCTCCACATTAGCGAGTCGCGTGGGATCGACGACCCACATATTAGCGTACGCTGCGACGTCCTTCGCATGATTCTCGAGCGCCGCGTACAATATCCTGTCTTCGTCAATTGCAGCAGAGCCAGGCGAGGCGAACTTGGGATCGCTGAGAACGCGCGAGAGGATAGTCAGCGCATGCGGGCCGCTATCCGCTACTGGGGCATTAGAACTTGAAGTGGATTGGGGCAGGACCTTGCCGAACGGAGAGCCTAGTCCGGACATCGCGGCGCTGAAGCTGCTCGCAAGAGACGCTCCTGTGTCGTGTCCAACACCAGGCTCATCCTCAAAGAGCCCCAACAACGTGAGAAGACCAGGAGTTGGATTATGCACGACCGTCTGCGCGATGCCTAGGAGAAGATGTCAGTCAGGAACCAAAGATATATCATTGCAGGGCAGCAGACCTTCCACGACCATGCCTGGGAGACCGAACTCTACACCATATCCTGCATGGATCATGGGATGAAGGAGCCCGGCGAAGAAGCGGCTGAGAATCTGGGGCTGCTTCTCTGTTGGAATGTTCGCACTAGGCCCTACGTTCGCCTTGCGCGAGAAGACAAACTCCTCCAAAGCTGCCGCGACGCCTTTCTCTTTGATAAACTGCGTAAGGAACTGCATGTAAGCATTGTAATACCTGCACGTGCGATCATTTAATTGCATAAGAAGAAAGTTGTAGCGGTTTAGTCAGAGGCTCACTTGTCGTCTCCCAGGTGCTCGTAGAAGTTATCGCTCCTGATGGCCCCAGGTGACTCGAACGCCGGCTTCTCGTAGTGGCAGTCGAGTTCGTAGCCCTTTTGGATCGCTCCAGCGTCCGCACCGAGGGCCCACGAAGCGACCGCCCGATGGGCTGCATGGCTGCGTTGGATCGGTCAGCCAATCTCACACTCGACAACAAAATCGTCGGAGACCCACTTGTGGAATCGCATCTCGTTGAAGAAGATATGCCATTTCGCGTGGTTATCCTTCAAGACCCTCTGAAGGGCGGCCGTCGACTTTGGTGAAACACCAGGGAAGTGGGCTGGGGCCAGCTGAGACGGCGGAAGCGATGGCGCGGGGAAGAGATACTCGAGCGGTGGGGAGTACATGGTGGACTTGGGGGGGTGATGAGATTCGTGGAAGAACAGTTCGAAGGAATGCTTAATATATTGCATGGATGACGTCGAAGTACGGCCCAGCCCGGCATGTGGAGAGTCTGAAGTACTTCGTCGTCCTGTTTGAGAACCTTTAGATTCGCAGTCTGGATGCCAATTGTATTGCGTCCAATTTTATTGGCGGAGCTTGAGAGGTGTACTAAAATTATACTCGTGTCTTGGCATTGGAGTCGCAGGACCTGGAAGAAAACAAGGAGAGGCGTAGAAGGCCCCAGGAGCTGAGGAAACGATGGGCTATCGGCTCGGTCCTCATCCCAGGCTACAAAGAAATATATTACTCTACGTTGCAGCTTTGCTCCAGCGAGGTATTACTCACCTGTGCGAAATCTACCTCATTGGTCCTTGAGTGTCTTCAGATTCCGCATCACCTGAAGATCCAGCTCGAGCTCTTGTCCGACGACGAGGGACAATGCGGGGTGGAGGAGTGAAGGTACTCAGCGAGATCGGGGTGGTCGACGAAGACTGAAAGTGGCGGGTGCCTAGGTTTTCCGTGTGTAAATGTGACTTCACGATATATAAAGAAGACGTCGGGCCTCCTGTGATCACAAAAATGTCTGTTGACAAGTGCGGGAGAGGCCAGCGTGGCGTGGTTTCCTCCTAGGACTCCTATGGCTAAGACAAGATCCTCAGCGGGGCTTGGGTAGAGGTCCCGAGTTGGAGGCGAGGAGGATGCGCGAGAGGCACGGGTAGTGAGAGCAAAGGGCAGCCTAGGTGGGCGGCGGGTACGGTGTCCGAGAATATATACCTCCTGGTGTGCTAGACGCCCTGGACGATGACGACGACGACTGGGAGGTAGGCACAATCGCTTGGGAAGAGCATCAGGCAGCCCGGCAACCGCCGACCTGACCTGGAGGTCACCATGCTTGAGCTGAACGGAAGTTGAAACGTTGAACTCCGAGTCCATCGTTTTGCTAGTTATCAGTGCGCTCTTTCCCTTCCAGCTAGAGTGATCGTGCCGCCTAACTTCTCACCTTACGGGCTTTCTAGATACAACCATCTGGGTGCGGCACTACGGAATTATTAGATCTGAACCAATTGACCTGGTTGGAGATCTTCCTCGCTTCTTTGTTCTGCTCTTCGCATTGCAGCACTTCAGACTGGAAGATTGGGGGGACATTGCGAACCTGGGAACTGGTTCCACTGGGACCGTTGAGCGTACACAGCAACCACATAAGCCGGAACACATGGACCTTCCGGAAGGCGGGCGACAGGGGATTTCAACTCGTCGAACGGCAGGAAATCTGGCCAGGCAGTGGAGAACAGAGCCAGTCAAGAATGTCAGTCTCACTGCAGAGCCCTTCGAATGCATTCGGCAGCCAAACGGGATTGTGAAAGAATTCACGATCAACATCGACGACAGTGCTCGACTCGTGTCCAAGCCTCACTGTATCGCGGGAAGGGCCACAAGTGTCTTCCCATTGCCGGACCTCACCTCCATACAGGTCCCGTCTACGCAGACGCTATCCGGAGAGGTACCAACCACTAGGAATTATGTTTGTAAGCTTTACAGTCCTGAAATCGTTCCGCCGAACGACTGGTCAAGATATATGATATGACCAGATCTTCCGAAGGGACAGGTCAAACCAACGCGAATAATTACATCAAGAATTTGCCATCGTTGCCTATCTGGAGTTTCGTACAATTCACTGACCCCACTGCGGCGACCTATAACCTCGTTATACGGGCCTCTCGGGTCACTCAATTGCTTATCTTCGAAGAATTGAAGCCAATACACAAGGAAGTGACAGGCCTAGAGTTCATCAAGGCCTGGGCTGAAGTTGTGAAATGTAAGTTCCATCTCGCCCTGTATTTTATCGAATGAGACTTTGACAATAACACCCTTGAAGGTCATCGCTTTTTGCACGAATGTGGATTTGAACACAGCGACCCTAGCCTCTGGAACATGATGTATGATGTCCGCCGACGTTGCGGTGTCCTTACCGACTTCGATCTTGCTCTTCCGCCCGGTTCTTCTACACCTGCTGGCTTTGAGAGAACGGGAACTGTTCCTTTCATGTCTTTGGAACTTTTAACACCAGCATACTGGGACGGGAAGATATTGAGGCGATATCGCCATGTGCTAGAGGCACTCATCTGGGTCCTTGTCTTTGTCCTCATGACCTACAACGACAAGAAATTAGGCGAAGATCGCATGGGCACGGGAGCCTGGACGACATCTAATTATTTGCAGTGCGCGAAGGAAAAGGACCATTTCTTGCTCAGTGGCGAATTCATTGTTCAAAACAGCTTCGGCGGGCCTGAGGCGGAATTGGCGTCGGAGCTCATTGGCTGGTTGGGTAGTGAGAGACTTCGTCTAGCGACAGCGACGCGGCCCGGGAGAGCATACCGACAGCATGCACAATTGGAGGCGATACAAGTACCTCTTTCAAGCAAGCAGAAGCAAGTTCAGGAGGACAAGGAGGTGTGGGACAAGTTCACTGAGGTGATCCTTTCCGTCGCCCAAGAGTTCACCATGCTTTCCGAGGTATCCAACATCTGTGAGTATCCACAATTACCTTCGCCGACCTATGCTAAGCGGCCTCCTAGTGAACTAACGGCGCCGCTGCATGTTCTTGCAACTTACGCGAAGCCGCTAATTTATATAAATGCGAGAAGCAGAAGACTCGGGGACGTCAAGTGCTACATTAGTGTTCAAATAACAAAGTCGATATCAAGAGTGTATCAAACAATCTTGATGTAATATCGCAACAACAGTGTTATCTGAAGTATGCAGGTCGCACAATAAGGCAGCTATACTCCACTTCACTTGTCGCTGATCCAGGTGTTGGCTCGTTGTGACAAACTGGATGAAGACAGTTTCAGTTCTCAACTCGCGGACTGAGGAAATTACCCCCAGTCGAATCGAGTCTCCCCAACCCAAATCATCGCGACCGCTGACACAGATCTAATATACTAGTACAGCGCATCACAAGAAATGGACTCCATCATCGTCCACCCGCAGCTCCCTTGCTGTCTCCCTGAACGACTCCAACTGTCGTCGGACGTTCGTACAATTCGGGTTCGCAGCGAGAATCGAGTAGCCCTCCTGCAGGTGCTCTTCGAGGTACTGTGGATGACGAAATAGTTAGCTCGTGCCTTGAGGAATGGGCCACCGCGAAGACGAAAGACAGACCTTGATACGGCTCTCTGACGTTGGATGCGTACGGAAGAAGTCATACTTGAGATGTTGGGCGATCTTGGACTCAATTCGTCCAAGACGCTCGAACATCCTATGAGAAAATTGCGTCAGACAATTGGGTACAAAGAGACCGTCGTCAGACATACGCCGGAGATGCAGCGGGGTCGTAGCACGCTCGACTCATGAGGCGGAGGCCAATCAAGTCGGCTAAACATTCGTTTTGAGAGGTTCATCACTGCCGGTTTGAGGAAAGAGCAAGCAGGGAGCTCACCTTCGGTCTCCTGCTTCCGCGAGTTGGGGAGGTCAAACGCATACTTTGAGAAGATGTCGGATAGGCCCATGTCCAGGCCGAGAGCCTGGAGCAAAAAAGTGAGGGACATGTAGACTAACTGCGAGGATATACGTTCGGCTGTGTGACGTGCGACTGGATGGCGCGAGTGAGAACCCACCATGGGGGTTCGAGCAGAGCTACGCACCGACATGACCAATTTCTATGGTAGAAATTAACACGAAAACCGTGATCGAAGGAGAAGGAAAGGCCGTACCATGAGCGAGGACAGCAGCTAGCCCCTCTTCGTCCTGGCATATGGGTAGGATCCCGGTGAACACCACAACAAGTCCTACGTCGCAGCCTTGTTAACCTTCTTTCCCGCTGCGAAATCAAATAAAGACGACAACACACCAGGCGCTGCCATCGCGTTCACCATCTTCCTATCATTCACCACGACAACCTCCCACTCTTTCTGCGGTCCGTACACATTCCCCGCGCTTGCCGGTGCCCCAAAGCTCGCGTCGGGATTCCACGAGTGCTCCCCGTCTTGCGCGAGGCCGAACGGCGAGAGGGTGGGGATGGACTGCCCCTCGCCCTTGATCCTCCCAAGGTTGGAAGCGTGCAGAATGCGCGAAACGACGCGCCTGACGTGTCTTGAGAGTGGGTGATTGGCCGGGAGGGTCGCGGGTTTGAGCTCTGCGAGGAGGCCTGAGCGGATCATATCACCAATCTGGATTGGGTCAATAACAGCGTCGAGCTCAGCGAGATTAAGACTCACTGTAGCTTCTGTGTTAGTAGAAAGGATCATGAATCGCCACCGGCCGGTATCGGGAACCTGCTCGAGGCTTCGTTGAAGTTGTCATTCTCCCCCTTCCGGACCACAATTTGAGACGAGATACGCACTGAGAAACGTAGTATACTGTCCAGCATCCTCCCAGAAGGAGTACGACATTCAGCCCCGAGTACCACTTCCTAGGTTCCCTTGGATTGTTGGGCCTCTGCGGCTGGTCGGGGGTGGAGAAACGGACGTAGGCATCGCGTCGGTTTGAGGAAGAGAGCTGCCTGAATGCTTGCGTGGAAGCTCGGAAGGGCTGCGGTATACCAGGAGTCTGCGAGACAAATTTGAGGGGCCGCGATAAACGAGCGATGCCTCTTAGCATAGGGAGTGATTGGGAGAGATTGAAGTTTCGTTTTCTGGTGGCTGGCCGCATGCTACGTTCAGCCGAGTTTGGATAATCGGTCACACGCATCCGGGCCGGACGCCCATGCTGAGTCCAGACTTTGCCAACGTTGTTCGGCGTAACTGCGGGTTCCAAGGGTAAGGAGCAACTTCGGAGGCCTCTGCAGCCTCACTCGTCCATCCTCTGTGGCTACGCCACTTCTTTGTGAAGCTCCGCTTCTGCACTTGCTGTGCCGTGGTCGCCGTGTCTCCCTTCGGTGCTGAGGATTCAGCGGATGCTGAAGCGGAGATGGATGCGGTGATTATCGTACGGTGAGTCACTCTTAGTTGGTTACTGTCTTCGACAACGACCACCACACATCCGGGCTGCGCCCACTATTTTATCCTCTATTATTCGTACTCTAGGCTCCGCCTAATCCCATTTTCGCTTGCCCACCCACCTCTCCCTTTTATTATACTTTGGAGCTTGCTTCTTATAAACGGACTCTCTTTTTACACAAACGGACTCTTACTGTACTACTACTTACAGACATGTTACATGTTATCCCACGTAGCCTGTCCGCTCCGACCTCAATCAAAGTGGGGCCCGCCTTTTCGTGGACCTCGTTATTGCTACCATTGTTTGGAGTGAGATAACAGCAGAGGCTCCACCCAGTGCCTACTGACAGAAGCCACCTTGAAGCGACGACTTGGAGCCCTGGTAAATCCACGATAGCCAGGTACGCTCCAATTATCACGATTGTTGCGATTTGCTTCTGACGATACTTAGTTCGATCTCGTCTACAAAGCGCGTTCGGGAATTTGTCGAAATGGCGGAGATTGACCCGGTAAAACGTCGTCGTATCGCTGGATTCACTATGTCACTCTTTCTTGAGCCTCTGGAGACCTTGAGGCCTCTGGAAATTTCTGTGACTGGCCTGGAGCTCGTCAAGGCCGGCGCTCAAGTCGTCTGAAGATGTATTGCCTTGCTCTATTAAGCTCTGATCAACGTGAGCTAACTTTTCGGCAGGTCATCGTCAGCTATACAAGAAAAGCCTTCGATAGAGTGACCCAATCTTTCGCAACATGGTATACTAGCCTCATGGTAGCTATGGTGTCCTCGGCAACTTCGATTCCGGTCCTAGTGCTGGCTGCTTGTCACTCTCCGCTTTTGCTCAGAGAAAGGGGGCAATTTCCTTTATGTGCCCAGAACTTCTGATAAAGGCTTACGAGTGTGCTGGCGATACCACCACGAACTTCAGGCGTTCGTCTGGATCTTGCTTTCCGTTTTATTTCTGTTCGACGACCGCAAATTAGCATTAGAAGATCCTATGGGAAGCCTGAACCGTACGAGCCGTCCCTTGCAGCAGCTAGCAAAAAGTCTTGATTCAGCCTTGAACTAAATACGAGAGAAGAAAACGAAACATTAAGACTACATCTCATCTGTGTCGAGCATCGCATCTCCCTCCCGGTAAAGCAGCGCAAACCTGCTAAATCGCTGAGGAAGTGTTCGATCATGACAAGTCTCTCGAGCTGGGTTTGGGAGGCATCTATACGTCTTGGCTTGTGCCACGCCTTTACCTTTTTTGGGGGGACACACCACAGCCCGCATTCAAGCGGCGGAGGTTGTGATGACTTGGTTGTACCTGAGCTTCTCGTGCTCGACGTGGACGAAGTTGGCCGGCCAGACCGCGCGGTCGATAAGGTTGAGGCTGCGGGCAGCACTGCGCCTGGCCAGAACAACGGGGCCGGGGATGCTGGGGTCGCTGATGGGGACACGGGGGTTGGTCCAGCGATAAACCAGCATGGCGAAGATATCCTTGTCATCGAGCACGATGTCGCCTGCTGCCTCGGGGTCACTCAAGATCATATCAACCTCGCGAGAGGCCAAAAAGGCGTCGTGAAACCATGCAACGATGGCTTGAGAGCTGGAGAAACGACGAAGAAGAAAGTCAGAGGATGGGTGGCTGGGGAGATGGCAGAAAGAGGATGCACATGAAATCACGGCAGCCTAGATAGGCAAACCCAATCTTCCTGAAAAAGAAGGGCAACATATTGCGGTGAAGAAGGGCCTCGAGAAGCTGGCCAAAGGTGATGTCGGGGATGAGAGCGAGTTTGAAGACAACGACGATGGCACGAGAGGGCTCAGTACGACCGCGGACCTTTATGTTGAAGACACCAGGATGGGGAGCACCCTCAGTGGGCTGCTGGAAACGGAACCCGTCACTAGACGCGATGTCGGGCGGCTTACCGACACTCTCCACGTCGCTAACAACAGGCGACGGCGACTGCGAGTAGTGCGAATCGTGACTACCTTTGCCAGTAGCAGGGACAAGAGGGAGAGCAGCCGGAACGCCGTCGTCGCTGCTCGGAGCAGGGGGCTTGCCGAAGCTGCTGCTGACGGGACTATAGACCACATCCGAGCCGGCGTCAGGGTCGGAGCGGTTGCTCCTGGCGTATTGGCCCTCGTTCGAGCCGACGCTGGCAGCACGGTCGACATCCATGCCGAACTTGATTTGGCCAATGTCCTTGCGACCGCCTTGACCAAAGTCGGCGTACACGCGGAGCATCCAGTGGTTCTTGATAAGGCCGCGATTGGTAGCCTCCTCGTCCTCGAGACCGGTGTCAACCTTGGCGCCTGCATTGAGGACGTCGACAAAGAGCACGCCTTTGTCGATAACCATGTTCTTTATATATTCGGGGACAGTCTCAGGCATGTAGTCGGCGTCAACCTGTGTTCAGTGTGGCAAGAGGGGTGTGACGTCGGTGGAGAATGTCGGAAAGGAAGTGGCGGAGAGGAAGGAGAAGAAAAACAGCGCGTGAGCATGGAGCTATAAGAAAATAGGGAAGAGAAAAAAACATACTATAGACGTAGAGACGGGGACGGGGAGGGTGATATTGACGGGGCCGGGGCCGGAGACGGACATGGTCTAGGAGTACAACAAGCGAGATGGTGAGCATGGAGGGCAGCAAGAGAAGAAGTCACAACAACATACTGTAGTTGACTGGGAGCGAGTAAACGGTGGATACAAGAGCTTTGAGAGACGATGCTGGGAAGACGGTGCTACGCTGAGAGAGCTGAAGCCTGAGGGACGACGATGGAAGGGGTTGGGTTATATACGACAGCCAGAAGACATTGTCAGCTGCTCCTGGCGCGGCGGGAAATTCATGAGCAAAATTCAAACGTTTAAGGTTGCTCAGGAAAGTAGGTGTTTAAATGGGGACTCGTTCAAGTGAGGGTATTAACATTTATACATGACTAAGGTAACTTAGCTAGATAGTGTTTAAACGGTGCTACTAGTTTAAAAAAGATGGAAGAGTAAACACGAAGACACGTTTAAATGATTAAATCAACGGCTTTGAACATGGTTCAAATGAGCAGTGGCAGATAGAAGGGTACGGCGTTCAAACGAGGTGTTCAAACGAGGTGGTGAATGTCGTCGGAGCGAAGGAGTGGTTGGGTGTTTGAGCAATCATTTGAATGAAGCATTTGAACATAGCGTTTGGGCAGGGTGTTCAAGTTAGGGGTTTGAGGGAGGTGTCGGGGGCAGCGCAAGAGCCAAGGAGTGTTCGTGGCAATCTTCTGAGCATAGTACCAAAACTTCGACTTCTTGTGGCCCTTCTGACCAGTGTCTCCTGCATCAGTCGTAGCCGCTGTCGATGGTGTTGCTTCGGATTTCTCGTCAACAGAGGTCGAGGGGGTGGAAGACGCAAGCACCTTGCGCGTGCTTCGCCTGGGTTCCTGGGTCAATTGGACTCTAATAATGCTTTCAGATATAACGCAGCTAAAAGAGACAGGATAACTCACTCGGTACGACGCTTTTTAGTTCCGCCTCCCTCTCCGACTTCATCTCCCTTTTTTCGACGCCTCTTCCCCCCACCGTCAACCGAGAGACCAATTGCCGACGCAGATGTCGGCGCTGGAGCGAAAGGCGGGGCCAACAGAAGCCCGGGGAGAGCTGCCGCTATCGAGTCGGCGATGCTAGATGGCAAAGCGGTGCATGGGCTCGTCGTATTGGCATATACAGGTACAACTGAGCCTGCTGGGGGCATATCGTCTGCAGCTGAAATGGCTTGTGTCATATCCGTGGCGGCAGGCATGGGTGGGCTGGTCGCCTGTGTGGCAGGAGTGGCAATGGGTGGTGACGCATTTTTTCCCGCGTTTGGCAAAGTCCCTGTCACTTCTGCGTGCATCGCCGGGGTGGTAGGTAGCGCAGGGGCGGGCAGAAGTATTTGTGGGCTGGTGGTCATGGTGGTTGCCGAAGCTCTAGCGTGTGTCGTGGCCAAGGTAGGTGGTGACTTGTTCCTAACAGTCGTTTCCGGGTGTATTGACGATGGCGTTGAAATCGGGCTTTTGGTGCCGGCGGGGGAAGTTTGCAGGTCTCCTGTCGAAACTGATGTCGGGGATTTTTTGAATAGCTGAACAGCGAGGGTCGTTGCCTGGTTGTCCTTGATAAAGGTCAGGAGTTGAAAGACCGAATTCAAGGGCGAAGTTTGCGGATTCAAGAGGGGGAGATTTGAGTCGACCAGCGTGGCCTGCATGTCAGAACTGTCCCAGCGGAAAGGATGGCCATCAAATGACCAACTTGAAGCTATGTATAGGATACGTGGTTGAGAACAAAAAGAACACAAAAAGAAGATAGACGCACCCCATTGCACCTCAACAAACTCTGCGAGCATTGCTCGAAGCCGCTCCAACGTGAGATCATTCTCCAACCCTTCTGGCCATATCGGATACCCATTTACGTCGCGTTCAAACGGGCCAGACTTCTGATTGACTAGAATATTGTGAGCGTTTGCCAATAATTGTGATATTTCGACTTACCATCGACGGTGTCCTTGCAGCAATCGAACCAGGGCCGCATAACACTCTCAGAATAGGATTCCAGAAACGATTCGAAGGAGGCTTGACCAATGTCGCCCTTGTATGCGTTGACACTAAGAAACAGTGAGCGCGTGAGGGTTCAAACAAGGAGCGACATACCAGCCAGTTTTGAGCACTTCATTGCAATCACGATATGTGTACAGGAGATGGAAGCGTGCATTTCCAATCGTGTACTTTCCATCCTCCGAAGTACCAACAAGGCTGGTAAGTAATGCGGCGACAGTCTCATAAAGGAGGGCTTGATTTCTTTCAGAGTACTGTAAGAATAGACACAAGAAAGAATAGGTGGCATGAGACGCACCGGTATATTTGCCCCTCCTTCTGAGCTGCCCTAAGTGTTGCTGCCTTTTCCTCCCAGTCTGCTTGTTCATCCTCGTCAAGACCCTCCCATAACTCCTTCATGCGTGTTTGCCACATTCCAGCGTGCTTGTGATGACTGGTGTCGGTTGCCTTGCGGACTTTGTTGACTTCGGCATTGACTTGGTCAGCATGCTCGCGATCGTGGAGGTAGCAGCCAGTAAGTTGAGTACGCTTGAAAACCGTAGACCAAAGTTCGTCGACATCTTTGGCTGTGGGCAGTGAAGGAGTAGTGGTCGAGTCCGAGTCACTCTCGTCGTCAGACGGTGTGACAGCATGCGCCGTGACGGTTCCTTGGGGCAGGTACTTCTGAACTTGCTTGGCGGTGGCCTTGTCGACCTTCACCTTCTGGCGGTGTTTCTGGTTACGAAAATAGGTACTGAAGTTCTATGATCACCGTTGAATAAATAAATGTGACAGAGAATATTGATAACGCACGGTACGAGCAATGGCAGCCGTTGTCTTCCCCGCATCGATGTCCGCTTTCAAGTTATCCGCAAACTGCTGTTCAAACTCTTGAAGACGCTCCTTGACCCATTCTTTGAGGTCAGGGTCATCTTTCGGAAGTGGCTGGCCAACAACACTCTTCTTCCCAACTGCAGTTTTTGTGAGATAATCTGGGATTCTCTTCTTGATCCATGCCTTCTGGTCGTCTGGGAAGCCAGGGCCTTTTCCAGAACCCATTTCATCGGTTTATTCAATTCAAGAGAGGATTGTGGAGTGTGAGCAGGGTGAGAGGGTGATTATTAGAAGAAGACGCGCACTGTTCCATGGCCCAATTTAAGAGGGGAAAATGTCAATGCCACCTATGCAAAGCACAGGGATGCCAGTGCTTTGGCCTGCTGCTCGACGAGGTCTAAGCGCCAATGATGTGGCTAGCATCGGTTTTGTGTAAATTTAGAGGATCATAAATATTGCACAGGGAATACAATCAATTACTTGAGAAAAACTAAGAGAAAAACTAAACGAGAACGTAATTAAGGGAATGCTCGCTTCTTACCCTTGCGGTCAACGGTAGGGGGAGGAGTTACTAAAAAGTTACTGCTCACCCACGGTAAATGATCCTCAAATTTATCAAGATATTCAACACCGACAATGCGAACTAGGAGGATATGACCACGGGCCGAGACCGCATGGGGAGTATTCCATGCCGTGGGAAGCCAACGCTCTTGGACCGCATGAAACACTTCAATATCTTGCGTCTGTTCGACCCCAAGCTGTCCAAGCAAGACTTTGAAGTCAGAGAACCGAACCCGTGAGTCCATGCATGGATACAACATTGCTTCAGTGCAGGGAACATTGTTCTAAGAATAGCCGATAAGCGCTCACAGACATGGGAATGCAGATCGAAACTCACCTCAAGCCATATCATGACTGTAACGGGCATTGACTTATCGAAGCTATCCTGAGTGGGAACTTGTGGCAATGGAGGTTGCGGTTGTGATGACGGTCCGGCAGCAGGAGGTGGAGTCAGGCTTGCACTAAGAGGCGGTACATAGGGAAAGGGTTGAGCCTGAGGAGAAGGAGGAGTGTCCTTTGCTGGGAGGGTCGGAAGAGCAGCAGGCACTGGCGGCATAAGAGAGGTCCCGGCGAGCTCATCTCGGATGCGAAACCAACGAGTGATTGGCTCAGTAGCAAATAAAACCTCGGCATCGAGGTAGTCCAGAGCTGTAATATAATGCAGTCTGTCACATAACCCCTCTCACGCTACACCTGGGTGTAGACTGTCTGCGGTCCGGTCCGTGGCCCTCCGGCCCCGGGTCGGCCCTGGCCCGGACCCGAGGGCCAGGGCCGAGGGCCGGCAGCCTGGCGGACCCAGCCCTTTAAGGAGGGCCAGGGCCAAGGGTTAGTTGGC